ATAATTTCATTAGTGGTATATCTTCAATATATTGAATCATTTTTTTTATTATAATTCACTCCGTCGACTTCATGGACAGCCCAGCATTGCAATAAAAACTTGGTTAATAAAAAAAAAACACCCCAGCTTGCGTGTGGCTCCCTCCCTCTCTTGGAGTGCAGTACTACGATGCCGGCGGGGTCACTCAAACCCCCAGAAGTGAGCCTCTACCTTTTAATCACTCCTCTTTGGTTGCTTCATTGCCAAAATATCCCCTGGGAACAGCTGATCATTACTTATTATCGGTTATTAAGTGATTGTTGTCCTAGGAATTGAACACTGTGGAGTTGATTTATGAGGAAATGTCAAAACCCATGGAGGCCGTTGACTGGGAAGGTAACCTATTTCTCCAGGTGTTTTTTATCAGCATGGAGAAAGATCTGGAGTTATTGCGTGGCTTGGAAATTTTTTTGTTTTCTTTTTTGTTTTTGTAGATCTTCGGAAGCAGGCGAGGCATCTCGAGAATGAAATCGATGCTAAATTAGTGGCGTACAGCAAATTGGGGATAAATACGAATTCCAGTCATGCCAGTGCAGATACTGTACCGTTACTCGATGAGGATCATGTATTTGAGAATATGACAACAGAAATTGGGTCACTCTTGACGAAGGTAATATTTTCCGTGAATTAACGAATGATCACAGTCAAAGCAAATTCTGCAAAAAGGCTGGGAAAAATTCTGCAAAATGAAAATGAACCTGAAACACTTGAAAAATCGATGAGATTAACGTGGAACAAAAAGAAATACAATGTTTTTATTGATTCGTTCATGGGGTTTCAATTATTTATAAAAAAAAGTAGTCGTTTCCTTTCGTCGCTGATATTACGCAGCATTTTTCAATCGGCAGCTGGCGATGATAAATGATGGCATGAGTGGAATTCAGGCGAATGGAGCTGCGATGCTCCACACGATGCAAAGACACAAAGAAATACTGAAGGATTACAAATTGGAGTTTAACAAGCTGCAGAATAATTTCATTAGTCGCAAAGATCGTGAGGAGCTGCTTGGAAGTGTTCGACAGGATATTGAGTAAGATTTTTTGCGAATATCTATTGAATTAATTAAAAATTCCTCTTCTACGACTCATTGGAATTCATGTATAAAAAGACTAGACTTGTCTGTTGAATTATTTAATGATTATTTCTCTTGGAATTGACTCATGAATAATGTGGTGCCCCATTTTTTTCAGTAATTACAAAAATATTGGAGGGCTGAACCGAAGGGATATGTATCTAAAGGAGAACCAACACATCCACAAGTACGATAAAAAAATCCACGATTTCTTCGATTTATAAATCTATATAATCCATTTAATGTTCCAGCTCTGATCGATTGATAACCGATCAAATTAATATCGCTATGGAGACGAGAGATAATCTCATGTCACAGCGTCACGCCTTCAAACGCATCCAAACGAGATTCAATGACATTTCAAATCGATTTCCAGCTGTTCACAGTCTCATCCAGCGAGTGAATTTTCGAAAAAGACGTGACTCGCTGCTCCTTGGACTTCTCATTGGACTGTGCACCTTCCTAATGCTCCTCTATGCCTTTCACTGAGTTCCTCCTCAATTAAGACTATGAGATATTTTTTATATTCGATGCTTCGTTCCAACTTTCCAGGCAATAGGGTAATGTTCAGTTAAAATAACGATTATTGACGAACTCGTGGCAATTTTATATCCATGTATATACACAGTAAATCGCAGATCTTTAAAATGAGGGGATGAATCGTCGTTTAAGTCTGCCAATAAAAGAATTTAATGTCATTATCGTCACCTCATTGACTGTTTAATTGTGAGAAATACCAAATAAATATTGAAAATCGTCGAATGACAAAAGGCACAGTTTCCATAGGGTTGCAGCTAGTATATTACTCAATACGGAAACTGATACATTTATACATGTATATACACATATCCATACATACATATATATATGTATAACATAATGTTCTGCTAGAGATGTGGGTGACTGATGTTCCAGGAATCTGTATTTAGATACAGTCGTGTAATGAATACACAAACCATGAATTTCTTACGTCTATTAGGTAATAAATTAAAGTATCTTTCAACCGTTTCTGAACTGTTTTCCTCCAGACGCTGATCTCCCCCTCAAAATTTCCATCCAACCACTTGTTTCATATCTTCAAAATTGGAAATACTCTCGCCCTATTCATCGTCAGGTCTAGGCAAAAAAATTTATCTCAACAGAATATCCGAAATTCTCTTACTTTATTCATTAGCATTATTGTCAGTAACATAGACAATGTGCTGATAAGAAGCTTTGGCAATTGGGCGCAGAATCATAAAGTCAATCCTCAATATTTGAAGATTTGAAACCCCGAAAAAATAATCAATCGTCTCAGGACAAATTTCTCATGGAAACATTCGCCTACGCTAATCAGATATGTTCTACCTCTTGCAGTGCGTATTTTCATGAACCAAGTTGCCAGCATTTTTCATTAACAAATTTTCATGTTTTAGATTTCGTATACAGAAGTTACAGCTTCATCATCTCGCAGGACCGATAGATTATTCACCGAGGCTGATTGCATCAGCAACACTTTATTTTCACAACAGGAATTTAAAAAATCAGCGGAATAAAAGCGCGATGGGGTTTTTCAAATCATTTTGCCCACTCAGATGTCATACGAATATTCATAGACTCAAGAATTTCATTGAATTCTCGCGTAATAAGCTTTTGACTTTAATCTGTTGTACGATGCAATCATCCCACTACCAGAAAATCAAAATTCTCCATAAAATCACTCAACTTACGCCTCTCTACCACATATAATGCATTTACACAATTTTTCAGCTCCTCTTTAATTGATTTATGTCCTTGAATACAAATTGTAGGATCGAATTGAGCGTTAAGCCAAAAGTCGTTCACTCATATTGCTAATAGGGAGATTGCTACAGTTCTTACAGTATGACAATTTGTTACAACAAATATACCATTAAGTGCCCACCGGGTTCATCTACACAAACAAAAAGACGAGGTTCGATACGGCGATTAAATCCCAGCGATAATTATTCAGCACTGATAATACTTAAGACTGTTAATTATCGTTACTCCAATGAGTGAGATATTCATTATAAAATAGTTTTCAATTAAAAAAAAAAATAATTTCTTCCCCCGCCAATGTGACTACGTAATTTTTAATATTCAATGAGTACGTCAAAAATATCACTGCTATTGCGCACATAAATGGATTAAAGAAATCATAAAAATTGCTGCATCTTTCTCTCCCTCCAGAGAGTCCACCACTCCACATAATTATGTATAAAACGAACTTACGAATACCAGTCGCGCGCGCTGGTGTGAGCGTCTTCCGAAGAGAAATAAAAATAAAGTTCCAAGGGCCTCTAACTACTTAATCTATCACGGGAAGCAACGCGCGATTATTATTCCTCGTCATGTCATCGAATTGAATCGGTAGTTTTTTTTTCCCATCCATTTATCTTTCCCTCACTCGTTCTCAAAGAAGTTATCACTAACACTCCCAATGAATTTCTCCTTCACGTTGAAATTCCCATAAGTAGAACAATGCGGAGAACTAAAAAATTATTCATTCATACAAATTCCACAATTGTTTTTCGTTCCGTGTTACTTCGTGTGGACAAAATAATTCGATTTAATAACTTAATTTAGTAATTGAAATTGGCATTCCATCAGAGACAGGAATTCATTAAAAACTCTGCTCCTCAGTTTTCTCAGCGTCGGACGACAGTGCTTGACGTAGTGCCTCCATGCAGGCTTTTGGAATTAGTGTACCCACCACTTTCAAGCCATCATCTGCAATTTGACAATTACCCCATAATTACCACATGCAACTATTTTCAATGAGTCAATGATTTTTTATCTACACGCGATAAACTCACCAGTCCTCAGCCGTATAACTTGCATTTTAGAATTATGACCAGAACGTGCAGCAAGTATAGATTCAACTCTACTCCATACACTGAGTACAGAGCCAGCGAGAACATTGTAGGATCGTCTCCGTAGTCCAACTTCGCAGTCCATTCCAAGTGTGACATTTTTGCAATTGCCCCTCCAATAAGCATGCGAGCAAGTATCGACAGATGCCTCAAACTGCTGGGTCCAGTGTGGCTCAGCCTCATCAGACGAGACCTTCTTGTATTTTTTCTCGAGTTCACCGAGTGTTTCCTGCCTGAGCTGTAGCCCAGTGTTGGGTCTGTAGACCATGTAGAGCTGATCCTTCTTACCTTCGCCCTTTTTCTTGCCATTTTCAACAGCCACAGCGAGAATGGCAGTCTGTTTGCCATTTCTCACCTGATGACTGAGATAGAAACCCTCCTTGGAGCCAACGAGTTCAGCCCACTTGTCGGTGGCTTCAGCCCATGCCATACCCCTCTCTACATGAACGACATGGAGCTCAGTGGGAGCAGTTCCAGTCGAGTGTTTCCTCACGAATCGGAAGGTCTTGACTCTCTTAACGTTCTCCCCCGATGTTCCCAGGTCGAGGATACCCATGTCAAACCTTCCGGTCTTCTTGGCCTGCGTTACAATAGCAGCCAGAGTATCAGTGAAGTACTTGAAGAGACGATTCTGAAGATCCACTGGCATTCCGAGTATTCTATTCAAAAACTTGGACATATTATTGTAATCCTTATCCAATGAGAGTACTCCAGGCATATTCTCACTGTTGCAGATGAGGCCAACGCCCACCAGAGCATCAGCCACGTCCTTGAAGAAATCTCCACGATAATCCTGAGGAGGGGGCACCAGAGGTGGCTCATACCCCATAATAGTCTTCATGGTGGCCTCCAATGCAGCTCTCCCATATTTATTATCAATATTAAATTGTGACAAGTCCCTGGTCTCCGTGGCACGTCTGTCCCCATGGGTCAGGGCACCGAGACTCTCGAGTCTTTTGGCCACAGTCGAGGCAAAGCGCCTCTCCCCAGCCAAATCCGATATCAAAAATATGTACTCAGGTGCATTGACTTGATTCGACCGATGTGTTCTTCCAAACTGCTGGATAGCCCTGTCAGCACTCCAGGGCAATTCCAGAGTAATGTGGACCCTGCGCATCTGATTACGTGCGCGTCTATCACTCTGCAGAGATATTCCACTGCTTGCAGCCTCGGAGATAATAGCAACGGTTTTCTCGCCATCCATAAACCGTTGTTTCTCAGTCAAATTGAGGGTCTCAAGAGGAACATCTACTTCAGACCGTGACTCGTACTGAATCGATCCGTCCTCAGTCTGTACGACTCTGCCCTTTCTCCCGGTCATTTCAGCAACATTCTCTGGCCCACCGAGTTCATCTATCAACTGGTCCAGAGTGTTGGGGGGCAGTTTCTCACCCAGGGCTTCAATCTGCGCAAGAAGCTCCTCCTTCATGCAGCAGGCGCGCTCGATGGCGTCTCGTGGTGGTGCACTGTTGCTGGCTTTCATACCAGGGTAGTGTAACCCAGGTGAAATAGTATTAACATTGAGTCCTAGATTTCCAGAGTCGCCATTCTTTTTACTGTGCTTCTGGGCAGCAGCAGCTGCTGCTGTTTTCTCAGCAAGCATCGATTGGATTTTATCCTGGGTACTGAGTCTCTTCTTCGCTGGTTTTTTCGGCTTCCTTCCGGGCTTTTTCTTCCGCCTGTCCCAGGGGTCAGCGTCTGAATCACTGTCGCTGTAGAAGGGATTGAAATCCGAGCTGACGTTGCTCTCGTCGTCAGATCTATTCTCCTCCTCGCTCTCACTACCCGACAGCTTGAACTCTGATCCCGAGCTGTGGCCATTGCCATTGCCTTCGGTTTTGTCCTCGTCAGTGATCTCCTCCTCCGAAGACCAAGCCCTGACTTTCTTGGAGGCCCTCTGGGCCGCCTGTCTCACGGGTTTCCTCTTGCTACCGCCAGGAAGTACCACAGAATTATCATCGCAAAGAGAAGTGCTGGAGCCAGTGGCTAAAGCGCTATTATTGACAGATGCCTTTGGAGGCTCGAGTCCCAGGAGTCTGTGAATTCTGTTACGATCGGGGGCTGGGAAGTGCTTCTCAACGAGTGTCTGGAGGACTCCCTTGGCTGTTGACACAAAGTCACTGAGTTCGCCGTCGTCACGCTCCAGTTGCTCCAGAGTTCTCGCTTCACCCGTCGACTGCAGACCAATGACAACGCATTTACCACACTTGACAGCTTCACGAGCAACAGCAACTGCATGCTTCACCTTGGCAGCAATGCAGAGATATTTAAAAAATCGTTGATGAGACGACCAGAACTGTCCCCACATCGTCTTCTTCATTCTGTTCTCAGCATCAATGAGCTCAGCAGCTTCGTGAAACCTCTGCATGGCATCCACCCACAGTCTCACCGAGTGATCGTATACCCTGGTGAAGTCCTTGGACAGTGGTACCTCCTCGATTTTAAAAGCAACACCGTGGAAACTCAACTGTCGAGCGATGTACATTCCACGTAATTTCATGTCCATTGCGACGATCTCCATAGCCCCAACCCCTCGCTTCTCCACAGCAGCGATGAAGTCATTGAACTCAGGGAAGGGTGTGCCCTCACCCCATATTCCCAGACGCACCATGTACGCCATGTTCCTGGGCTCTGAGGCTCCAGTGGCACTGGCATATACCACTCGAGCCTTTGGTAATTTGTTCTGCAGCTCCAGGACTGTTAATCCTGTCTTTGTGGGCTTGGAGCTGCCTGTGGGGCAGAGATTCTTTGCTCTGTGGCACTCGTCGAATATTATGAGACCATCGAAGTCCTCTCCGCACCACTGGAGCAATTGCTTCAATCTGCTCTTGTATTTACCCCCTGACTGCGTTGACTCACCGATCAGGGCTGAGTATGTGCTGAAGATAACTCCCTTTTTCACATTCCCATTGACAGCCGACGAGATTTTCGCGTATTTGAATTTATTCAAGGGGTGAACGTCGATTTTACCAGCTCCAATATCTTTGAGATCTCTTTCTGCGTCGTACTTGAGGTCGTTGGAGACTGACACCCAGATTGCGCGTTTTCGGCCCTTCTGATAATTCTCGAAGATTATACCAGCAATTGTACGGCCCTTGCCCACTCCAGCTCCGTCACCGATGAGAAATCCCGCCCTCGTGCCGTCCGGGAGGATGTGCTCGTGCTGCTGGGAGGCGTATGTAATTGACTCCAGCTGCAGGGCTGACAGGGCACCTGATTTTATCGTGTCCTCAGGGAGGGAAACTTTGTACCAGACGTCTGTTGGCTCCACGCTCGACAGCGAGGCGGTCTCTACCACTGGGTCTGGGTGTTTGCGACCTAGTTTTAATTTTGTTGGCATGTAATCGGCGTATGTCTCTGCTACACCCATCTCCTCGTCGTCGGCCTCGTCTTCCTCGGGAATTGTTGGCTGCATCATTTTTGTTGGATCCATCGAATTCGCCCACAGCTGGGATACCGCTTTTCCTGGGGAATCGATCAAAGTCAGTTTCGGGGTGGGATTAAGTAAATTATTTATTTGCCGAGGGAATTTATTGGGATTTCTAGAAAAAAGATAAATTTCGGAGTTTTCTCAATTTCACTTACTCCGATGAAATGGAAAATTCATGCTCGTCAGAAAAATTTCCAGGTGTTAAAAAAAAAATAAAATTCCTATAAAATATTAAAAATCTGCGAGAGAAGAGTCATCGAGAATTAAAAATGCAGAGTAATAAGAAATTGTGTACATAAAATTTTTTTATTGCAAAAATCGTAGACTGGATTTCTTTTGTCTCCTAGCCATGGTAACGCCGATTCGATCAATAGAATGATAAATCATGGCCGATTACTTCCGACAATTACTTCTAACGCACTTCGACAGAACGTAATTTATTGGTTAAAATCTAACGATAATTTATCCGTGTAATAGGGTGTGTAACGCACCTGGTAGTCCTGCAGCCCAATTTTGATGAAGACCACTTTGATTCAAGAGCTGTAGGAATGGATTGGCCCCCATGTTCATGTCAGACATGCCCATGAAGCTTCCCATTAAATTTCCCATTGCTGTCATGTAAAAATGCGATAAGAAAACCAATCAATACAATAAAATTACTTGAAGAAATCCAAAAAATCAGACTCACTCTGCTGGAATAGTGCAGCAGCATTGAATCCTAGATTTCCAGGAAAATTTCCAAAAGGTGGTACCCCAGGAGCCCCTCCAAATTGTGCCATCTGATTGAGCTGTGCCTGATTGGGAAAACCCTGGGGAGTACCCTGGGATCCTCCAACCCTCACCATTTCATACCCAGGAGCCGCTGGTTTGGTGACCAAACCCCCCGGAATTTTCCCAGCCATTTTCACATTGCCCCCAGGATTTCCCTCGACCTTCACCGTGGCCACCCCACCATCCCCAGCTCCCTCCTCCTTGATACCAGCAGCAGTCGCCAGATCCTTGCCCCCTCCAGGAACCTCAATTTTATCAGGATCCTCATCATCATCGAAGTCACTCCCACTGCTCTCATCACTCATTGCATCCTTGTACTTCTTCGACTGAAATCCAAAAAATTCAAAATCATCACTCCAACCCCAACTCCAAATTTAAAAAACGAAAACACATGATTTCCCACGCAATCCACTAATCGCGTCTAAAAATCGAGGTTATGTCTGAAAAACTCAACCACCAGACCTGCATAAAACGAATTCCCGCTGACGTAAGTGTCGAATTCTCTTCACGTCGACGAAAAAATAAACTCCGGATTAATCGACGGACGTTCCCCGGAGTCCCACAGATGCACTCCACCAGGAACAATTGATATCAATATTTTTCACCCTCAAAACTCGAGTTACCAGTCTCCAAAGGGCCTAAACACCCCCGGACCCAGTAAACACACTCCACGGACAACGCGAAATGAGAATATCCCAGAGCGCTGGGGTAAACTCTCACCGAAGAGAGAAAAAAAAAATGATAAATTCTGGTGCAACCGAATGCTCCGCCGTAAATCACCCCGACTCACAATGAAGACGACTGGAGCAACCTCAGGGATCCCGATGCGAAAAAAAGAAATACACTCGTCGGATAAAAAAAAAGAAAAAAGAGCAGCCACTCGTGGCTGACAGGCGACCGGAGCTCCAGAGAAATGAGAAATAAAATAGACGAAGATCGTAGCGCTACAGAGGGGCGGGAACGGGGTGAGATTTGTTTTTTTATTTAACAACATGCGCGTGAAAAAAAAAGACCATGTGGGGAAAAAAAAATCGAAAAAACCTCCCCCCGATGTCCTCATCTATCACCCCCTCCCCAAAAAGTCTCAATCCCTTGACATGTTTATTTACAAAATGATTATTTATTTACGAGCCAATGAATTTTGTTGAAAAAAATATATATACCAGATACATCGACGCTGTATCCCGTGATCGTGTCCGTGAATGAATGAGACGAAGCCGGAAACCATGCGACAGTGGTACAAAAAAGCGCGAACTATCTTCCAAAAATTGACAAGAGCGTGACTTCCGACGTAAAGTAATTTTTTGTATCATTTTTTTCAACTTCCGGATACGAGCGATAAGATTCCACAATTCACCAACTCCACCCGTTCGATTTTATTCCATTATCCCGGGTAATGATAAAAAATTGACAAGTCAACTTACATTTTTCTTGGCTCGTGGCATTTTGTTTGGTGTTAGGTGATTTGATGATTAATCCTGGGATTCAGGCGCCTAGGTTCATAGCCGCACTAGGTTGACGCCATTTTAGCTGCTTCCTCCAACCCACGGTGCACTACGATTGAGAATTACAAAAACACCCGCGTTGATTTCGACGAATCTGTCGGAGGGATTCTGAAGGTTCTGCGGAGTTGCCAGATTCCAGGAGATGACCAATGACAATTCAACGACAGGTGTTTTTTCACCCTGGGACTATCAAGAGGATTATCAATGCCAATGATGATTTTTTTAAATGATATTATTACCTCGGGAATTGATTTGTACCTTGTGATTGGCGTGATATCCGTCCTGATGTGGTGAACCGGTGAAAATTTGATTTCACCACCGGAGAGAATCTGACAACAGCGCACGCTGCGCAGCGCAGATCGTTATGTGATTTAAGTATTCGCGGCAAAAAGAAAAGAACGCGGAAAGTCGCGATGGACTAACAGAGTCATTTGAAATGGGAAAAATTTGGGGGATGGGGTTGAGGGCTGTGGAGAAGATGAGGAAAAATAGTCTCGTGTCAAAATTTCATGGGGTTCTCTCGCTTTTTCGAGGTGAGCCATAAATCGAAAAAAAGACTTCACCCCCTCGATACGATCGATCGTCCTCTGCGCACGATTTCAGCGCCACTAGCTGTGAATTCCGGGACTAAACATTATTTTTAACTTTACTCGGTTTTTAATCCTTTCTATTATGTAAAGACGAGCAAAAACTAGTTCTGTCGGTGGACACGGGCGGCTCGACCATTTGATTTTCAGTTTTAAGGACTACGCGGGAATATTTTTTGAGTTACTGATAAATTGAGATCGGTAATTATTTATCGTTTTCCATTAAAATATCACGGAATTTTCTATTAGGAATGAAATGATCATTAATGAATGAATTTTTCATCGAATTTTCCTCCTGGGAATTCGTTTCTTAAATATCAAAATAAATTGTAATATTCATTCGGCCCAACAAGAATAAATAAATTAAGATATTTGAATTAGAAATTACTATTACAATCGTTACAGGAAAATTTTGGTATTGAATCAATCATAAATTACGAACTAATTTTTTGTGCCATAAATTATTGAATATGATGAATTTGGGATGGAGTTATTCTCGGGAGAATTTAATTTTAGATTTAAAAAAAATGGAAAAATTCCTGTAGTAATCGGATAGGTCATTCAATTATCGAGTTCCAAGCAATGGGTTGACCGATCGAACTGTATGAGAAGAATTGAAGTACTCATCAATCTCTCAACATGATTTCTGTCTGCCATCGGCCAGAAAGAGACAGAAACCTCCGAACATCTTCTGTTTCTCTCGACCATCGTGAACAGATCCCCTCCGACACGTTTTCAGAAGCAGAAGAAGGTCAATCCCAGATGACAGTACTGGTATTTTTGAAAAGCACATACCCTCTGTTATTTATCAAGTAGTCTTCGTCCTCCAGCTGCATCACTCCAATCATTCCATCAATTAAACAACTGCTATCCCTCGGCTATCGATTATCTGCAGTTCCTCGGGAAAGACGAGTTGAATAATTCTCCACCACATATAGTAGATCGAATATAACCTGTATAATCCAATAAACACGGAAATTTAATGACCAGTTATTGAAGGATGAGTGAAAAAGTTATTTTGGTAACCGGTGGTACCGGTCTCGTCGGCAAAGCCATAGAGAAAATCGTCGAAAGCGAGAAAAGACCCGACGAAAAATGGATCTTCGTCGGCTCCAAGGACGCAAACCTCTGGTGAGTTCACCCGAATTAATAACAATTTCTTGTACTTTATCTTTGGTTTATTCCAGTGATAAGGAAAGTACTATTGCCCTTTTCAACGAGCACAAACCAACGCACGTGATTCATCTGGCAGCTATGGTTGGCGGTCTTTTCCATAATATGTCCCACAATCTAGATTTCTTGGTAATTAGAAATTACCAGTAAAAACAAACTCAAGGAAATGATTATAAAGAACCTCTCCTTGAGTCTCTCGATAATTATCCTGAGATTATTAAAATTTATCAATGAATTTTCAGCGTAACAATATTATGATCAACGACAACGTTCTCCAAACTGCTCATCAGACGAATGTCGTGAAAGTGGTATCTTGTTTGTCCACGTGTATATTCCCGGATAAAATCGAATATCCTATCTACGAGAACCAGGTAATGACAGTAATTGAATTACACAGAGAAAAATAATTGTTCCTGTCAATTAAACACCCTCCAATAATTCTATTAAAAGCAAAAATAAGTCAATAGAATGATCGGAATAATTAACAGAACAATTATCAGTAATGAGTGTTAAATTCTCATTTTTCGCACTATGTGCCCACAAATTTCGTTATTAATCCTCGGATCGGTGGTTTAGATGCACCAGGGACCTCCGCACCCCTCGAATTATGGCTACAGTTATGCAAAGAGATTAATAGACATCGCCAATCATGGATACCACGATCAGTACGGGAGAATGTACACCAGTGTCATCCCCTGCAATGTATTCGGGCCCCATGACAATTTTAATATGGAGTCTGGTCACGTCATTCCAGGACTTATCCACAGGCTGTATGATGTCGTCAAAGATGGTGTGTGGATTGATAATTCATTGATAATCAATAATTTTTATTTTTTCCTCGTGTGGGAAGTGAATTTTCTCTCATTCATCAATGCTGGAATTAAATCAATAATTTTTATTTTTTCCTCGTGTGGGAAGTGAATTTTCTCTCATTCCTCAATGCTGGAATTAAATATTTGATCTGGATTATTGAACTCTCAGGGTAGACCGCATAGAATTCGTTGCATTAATTGTCGATGGGACTGCACATTTTTGCACAGCAATAATCCGTCGATATATTGTCGACGACTGGCTACCGAGAATTGTATCGATTGCGAACTGACGGGCATACTGTTATCCGCGGAAAATCCGCGCATCATCCTGTCGAGGTTTAAATGAATTTTTTCCTGACGTCTACTTATTTTCCACTCAATATTTTTCCTGCGTGGTCATAAATTTGATCTCGCGATTATTTATTGCTACTTGCAGACCTTTGAATATTTATCTCACGTTTTCTCCGCGCGATAAATCTTTCGGATTTAAATTCATCGATCGTTAAAAAAATTTCTCAGTAACGAATCAAATTCTTTGGCTTTTTTCTGCTCATGGGCATTTTTTATTTCAGTCGCGAGGCACTGGGAATTGAATAAAATAAGATATTCATAAGTTTACTGATAAACTCTGGGTTTTCCTTCTGAAACTGCAGTTTTCCTCGTGACTTGCTGACGAATGAATATTTCCCTCACGTATCTATCCTGAAATAAATTCCCCGATACTCGAATTTATTGATGCATCGAATAAAAAAATAGCGGAAATAATTCGAGGTGTAAATGTGTCATTAAAAATCCCGCGGGATTTTAGGGAGCACCGAGGACCAAGTGTTCACAGTCCTGGGGACAGGACAGCCCCTCCGACAGTTCATCTACAGTCCAGACCTGGCAAAATTAATAATTTGGGTCCTCCGAAATTACAACTCCGTCGAGCCTATCACCTTATCAGGTACAACAAATTTCCAAAATATCTCGCATCAATCAAATAAACGTCTCTATTTTTTAAATTCAATAATTGAATAATTATTTTCCAGTGGACGAGACCCAGGAGGTGACCATCGGTCACGTCGCCGAGACCATCGCCAAAGCCTTCAATTTCCGGGGTAAAATCGTCTTCGACACATCAGCCGCTGATGGCCAGTACAAAAAAACCGCGACCAACAAGAAGCTCCGAAGTCACCTCCCGGATTTCGAGTTCACACCCTTCGAGGACGCCATAAAAGAAACGGTCACCTGGTACCAGGAGAACTACCACCACGCAAGAAACTGAGACCCATTATCCCAATTATCACGAGCTACTCAAGCTAATTAACCACCAAGGGGAGAGGAAGGAAAAGGGAGGGAATTAATAATTGTACAGAAACTGGGTTGCCCTGTGATTAAGAGACCAAGAAAATTGTTCTGCATGAACCTGGAATAAACATGCGATATTTTCCACCGAGGCTTTTAAAAATTCATTTAATCGTGCTATTTTAACAATTCACCGAACGACTAATCAACCGCTATAATTTAATTATCGAATATCAATACAGAGAGTTGAGTTTTTGGGGTGCAGGTGACACACGAAAATTATCCACTTTCGTGTGGCCGTGGGGTTTCGTTTATCATTGAATTTCGAGCTGTCGCGGTAAAATAAGGGCCGAAAAAAAAAAATATCCATAAAAAATCGGTTACTTATATTTATTCAGTGAGACGTTTTATGCGATGAAATTGATGTACGCAGGCGCTGGAGGCGTCAGACGCCGACGCCGTCCTGGCACCCAGAGAACAATTATTCCAACTGGTATGAGCGTCAGTGCGCTCGAGGTACTATTGCCTCACGGGCCATGAAAATAGAGTCTTCATTTTTTAATTTATTTTCATTGTTTTTACCCCCAATCCGAGGCAACTAATCGAGTGAAACTGGCACGTGACACTGTCATCAATTCCTCCAGGATTATCAATCAAACTCGTGTGACTTTTCCCAGATTTTCAAGTGCTTCGAGTTACTTCCGGTGTATTGAGGTGCAAGGTGCTTAATCGACCGGTATTTTTTTGAGTGGAAACGAATAATCAAATGATAAAAGCCCAAGAGAAAATGACAGAGCAGTTGAGACACGAGTGCCTGCTGGAGAAAACGGCTCTTGTTTAATTAGAGTCTAGAACGGGGGTAATCAGGGTAATTGGGGATTAATTGATTGGTGTATCTGTTGCACTCGATGCAGATCACGTGTGAGTTTGGATGTCAACGATTTATTTGGGAAATAGTAGTGGAAAATCGTGGCAATCGGTCGTGCATGAAATCGCATGAACTTCTGTCAGTGGATGGAGACGAAAGAGGAATTAAAATCTCGACAACTCGAATTACATCTGCCAGAGGATTTTGACATCGGAGGGAGAGTAGAGTTTGAATGGAATCTGGACAGTGAAAAAGTTCGGGTGAACTGTAATTATGGGGGATTGCGATGACGATCCTAGGGGCCAGGATTTTCATGCTGCTCTTGTTTAGTTGTAATTGATTATTTCATGTAAATTATGCCGGGTATCGTCGTTTTTAGGAGAAGATGGAGCGTCGGGAGCGACGATCTCGTTGTACCCGGTGTTTTTCTTCTCGTTCTTCATCTCATTTGGTGAGTAATTAATTCAATACTCCAGGGGCATCCGCAATTATATTCTCGTTAAAATCATCTTCGGTGGTATTATCCTTTCAAGTTTTTCAGTTCTCGTGGGTTCAAGTTATTTTCAACCGCTGGAGAATATTTTGATATTTAAATCTTCACATTTCCTCATAAATATTTGTAATTGCAGTTAGATCCTTGGAAAATTATAAATAAATTGGAAATCCTCGTCTTTTTCAATGGTTTTCAAAGATTTTTGAGTTGATATCACGCGTTAAGATGATAATCGATTAATTTGAAAGATTAAATGATTTCGAGATGAGGGGGAAATATTTGAAAATTATTTTATATCGATAGTTTTGGGTTCTCTGGATCAATTCTCTCAATTTCAGAGAAAATAAAAATCAATCTAACTTATCGCTCTGAAATTTGAACCAGTGCGGGCTTTATTTTCGCTCTCGCTCATTATCCATATCATGTTTCACTGCGTAAGTACTCGGGATTAGTGCGAATAAATAGCAGTGGAGAGACGTTGAAATAATTGTTGAAAGATATTCCCGAGGTTCTACTTGAAACAGTTTGAAATCCACGTGGGTGCAACGTTGGATTGTTAAAAATAATAAATAAGTTGCGGTCGTAATGCCGAGTCTCGTGGCATTTGGAAGGCGTTGGCGAACTGGAAGTGACGACCTGGTCCTTCCTGGACTATCACTCGCTGGAGTGCATGGACTCGAGTGAGTCGCCTCTTTGTTTTTTTTTTCAATTTATTCATGAGTCGACTGAATATTTTAATTTTGTACCGTGGGCACCGGTTTTACTATGGAAATTCGATGGAATTATAAACGATACCCACGGAATTCCGGGTCAACGTCGTTTATGACGATCGATCTGTCCGTCGCTTTGTTCTTTTAACATGTCACTCTTTCAGGCGTTGAAAAACACAAGGAAACGTCAACATTCAAAAGTGGAACTGCCCCAGATACTGGCATAACCTCTTGGGAATCGCTTCTGGTCGTTATCAGGTTTTTAAGATTCCCATCCCCATGCAAAAAATTTATTTAAAAAAAATATATATAATTCAATTCAATATATTCTTGAAATATATCGGCAAAAAAATCATGTCAGGTGTATATGAAATATATGTATTAATTTAATTATATAGATTTATATAATTTTCATGGATGTAAATATGGAATTGTTAAAATATATCGTTATAATTGTTAAAATATAAATAGATCTCAATATTGAAAAATAATTTCAATTATCAGATTCTTCGCGGAATTCTCTGTTTATAATTTCTTCATAACAAGACGCAAGAATTTTTTAATTTCAGTTCGTTAATTTGCATTTTAGATGAATATATTTTCTGAATTAACTGTTGTGCTCTCCGACAAATGGAAATCCAATGAAAACGAGTGATCGTTAAATTTCAAGAGTCTTGCCGGAAGTTTTCTAATAATACTTCTTTCCTTGGACCCCTCCCCAGGATTTTTTAGTGGAGAAGTCTGGGGTTGGGGATGTTTGCATTTCACGGGGATTATCGATTAAGTTTAGAAAAAAATTCATACTGCATGTGCCTTTGGCTGGCTGTTGACGGAATCGCTGGATAATCTTTTGATCGATTATTGCCAGATTACGAGGAGTAACGGGGGAAAAATGAGGGGTCGGGGACTAATACCCTGAGGTGATATTTCAGGAGTTGAGAGGACGGTAATACTTCAAGTGCGCATTTACGAGGGGTGCGGGTACGAATTTCCAGCATTTATGGACTTTTACGTTTAATATTCCTGGAGACCCTCAAATATTCATCCATCAAAATTTTAATCCAATTTAATAACAATAATTAATTATCTAATTAATTCCATTCGTTCTACTTCGCTCCCAAATTGCGAACCGCAAAGTACAACATATCCGGGCAATATCTCCAAAACCACTTGAGCTAGAGGAATTTTTCTAATAACATGTTTTACAGCTTTTAATCAGCCCTTCAAAAAAGGTTACAACAAAAATTTCAGTATCTCCCCTAGTTTCCGAGATATTCCCAAAAATTCACCGTAACCTAATTCTCTTTGCGATTGAATCTTAAATTTCCATCGCAGTTGAGTTTTTTCTTTTATAATCTTGCACAGTCTCGGCTCATTAATGGCAATCAGGAAAACTTAGAAATTAAATTATCATCGGCAATCGAAAATTCACTCTGCGCGATAGTCCTCAGTCGATATATCCTACTCGTAATTAAACTACTCGAGGACAATGAATCAAGCAATCTTATCTCCCTGCGCAGGAAGTGGATAGGAAATATCTAGCGATAAATTCCGCCCCTAGGGTAATCGAGTGCGGTCTAGTCGAACCCCGATGAGATCGAGTTGTCGTCGTGAAAAGAAGGGAAAGTGGGCCCCTCGCAAATCGATACGTCATACGCTACATTTTTGCCTTGTGAATGGCCAATGGGGGGTGAATCACCCCCCTCACCATCCCCCCTCCATCCCTTTTTTAGCTCAACCAATGAGATTTATCGATTTCACCCCCGTAAAATTACACGTGCTACCCCACCCCCACAACATCCAAATAATAATCAAAACAGTCTTTCATTTTTATCATCATCACTCTTCACGGAATTGACAATATCATTCTTATCACAATAATATTATTGAAATATTAAATTATTGATCTCGTTTTATTATTTTATTTTTATCTTAACTCATCACTTGCGAGACTAGTTTAGAGTAATTTTAAAAAATGACAGTTTCATAGTTATGGGATTAAATTAGATCGTGTCAACGTAAAAATTGAATTATTATTGAATGATGAGAGAGATGGAGTCGAATTACTCGATTCACATACTGCCAATTTAAAAATAACAAACTCCCCTGAATATTCACGAATGATCTAAAAACGGTTTAATCCCCGGTGGAGTGGGATTAAGAGATATTTCCACCCACAATGATGAGAGTAGTTTTCATGGGGGAGTTATAGCAGTTGTGAATATTTGTCAGCATCCCACCACTTTGGTGATGGGATATTATTAATATTCCTGCCACCCTGCTGAAGAGAGCGGTTCGTTAATTATTTATGCAATTTGTCCTGGAGCCAGCTGATTGCGTTAATCAATAGAGCGAAAATGTCTCGTCACAGAGTACGTGGAATACTTGTTCTTTATTTTTTGGTGGAACATACCCTCGGGGGGGCTTCACGTCCACTTAGTGGGTGTACGCGAAATGCCGTATCCACCCCAACCCCATTATAATTCTCAAAGGGTCTTTGTCTCCCATTGCACAGCTGTACAGTATTGTCATTCTCCTGATCCCTGAATATTTCACACAAAGCAACGAACAGACCCACCACTTTTTCGTATTTCTTCTCCGTAAAATTCACGCACTCCATTATTATTTTATTATTTTATTATGAAAATAATATTGCACATTATTTCTTCTGATTTTCAATAATTTCATAGGTTTCAGGGTCACATGAAAGATTGTTCATGAAGATTGTTCATTATCGGAATATTCAGGCAATCAGGAAATTACTTCAGGGGACAGCTTATGTTTGTTTATCTTATCTTGTTGAGAATTTAAAGTTTTTTTCTTTTGCTTGAAGTTTCAAGTAATTTTTCAGCAGTAGTCTCTTCCAGTGAATTTCACTTCGTTCGCGTTATTATTAATCTGGGAATTAGGAATATTTTTTCGTGGCTTTTCTACTGAATAATCAGCACCTCGTCAGCTGCGAAAGGGGATGTATTTACTCGAGTTGTGAGTGGGTGGAGGAAAGTTTTATGAATGAAAGTGGAAAGTTGAGGGACAGATTGTTCTCGCAATCCTTGGAATAAAAACCCAATGAAATGGAGTAGGAGACGTGGAAAAAATTGTCTATCGACAGGTGGTGATTCTGAATTTTCCGGGACATTTGATGTCTGGATGTCGAGACAATGACAACCCACAAATGATTCATTGAGTGACAGCGTGGATCAGACAGTCTTTGGTTTCAGTCTCATTGATAAAAACCAAAGATTGGTGGTATCAAAAAGATGAAGCTCTTCAATTTGGAATTTAATTAAAAACTTCCAACAATTTATCGAAAATATCTCGTACGTTCTTCAAGATGAAAGGTTTCCTGTCAAAAACTTCTGGAGCGCAGAGGCTGTCTCGCCTCAAATTTCGGTTGAAACTCCTTGATCTATACACTGACACCATTCCGAACTTTCAATGCGTCAAGTCATCCCCGTGAAAGATTGTTGAAAACAATTTTTCATCTCGACAACAGTTTTTTCCCGCTCTCCCGCACTCCTACGAAAATTGCGCAATAAATAAATTCCCCATTTTTTGATAAAAAAAAAATGGAAAAAAATGGAATATCTCGCATTTTAATTGCATGATCACACATAAACGATATAATTATGTAATATGTATAATTATGTACTTATATATAATTAAATAACGGATTAGTTCCGTTGGATACGATTAAAATGATAATCCCGACATATTGCGCACCTCGTGCACCAAACAACACTCGAAAATAATCCCCACGTTGTCTATTCCCTGGAGGAGAAGGCGGATAATTGAATTAGCGTCGATCAGAGGTTGTATGGCTGCAAGTGGACGTCGTGTCTAGGTCCTCGGGTCGACGACATCTTCAGTTTCCTCAGTAAAATTCCAGCAATCCTGAAAAGTCTGCCGGTGTACGATCTCAATTACGGATTTGCAAATATCACCAAGAGGATGCTCCTCATTGAATGGCGTACCTCTTGGTGTGTACACTATGTCGTTAAACTCAAACTGCTGGGTAGTTACTGCAATCTTGGAGTCTTCCATTCCCCAGCTCTCGAGTGCTCACTCCAAAGTTTTCATTGGAAAGAGTGAGCATCACTCGATGGAAAATTCTCATTTTTTTTCACGCTTTCTGGACTCCATCAAAGGGACCGGGGTCCATGGAAATTTTTATTCGTAACCCGAGGATGAGCCATTGAATTGCAAAATTTTCTTTTTACTGACAAAAATTTTATAGCCAGCGATGATTGAATTAATGGATTTAGATGAAAAAACAATTTTATCCCATATTCATGAATTCCACTGGAGATTCAAAGAGAAAAATTCGCCCGGAATTAATTTAAATAAATAAATAAAAAACACGAAATAATACAATTAACAATGTTAACGGTTATAATGGGTTATTGTATATATATTGGTATATTTCACGTGATTTATACGAGTGTAAATAATATCCGACAGTCGATATTCGGAATATATTTGTAACACATGTTGAACAATATTTTCTACCCTCGTCATTTGCTCTGGGTATGAAAAATCACGATATTATTTTTGACATTCGTTGGGGTTTGGGGGATATAAATGGCATATAGACACATTTCATAGGAGAAATACTGCGGTAGTGTTAACGAAAGACCCGGTGCGGTGGCAACGAAACTAAATCGATACAGGCCAGGCTGTACGCACCACCGAGGGTACCACCTCCAAGCTCGTCCTCTTTTCCCCATTTCCCCATCACACCATGTAACCACTCTTTATCATTCCAGTTGAAATAAAAAAAAAAACCACCACTTTTCCACTGCTCACCCACTAAAAACTGTTTTTCCACTCGGCATCGCTATATACTGAAGAAAAAAAATAATTCAAACACTCGAAACATTAAAAAAACTTTCCAAGATAATACTCTTCAGATCACATAAATCTTCTTCATCAACTGTACCACTGCAGTGGCTTTAAATCTGTTTTATTGCCTGGCGAGTGTTTTGTCGGTTGGTCGTAATTTATAGGATCAAGTTGGATGAAGCTACGAGTCCGAAGCTCTTACGTAAGATCGGTAAAATATCGGAAAAATGTGGTCCACTGGTGCTGACACGAGTCAAACTCAATGCCAAATGTCGCGATGGTGTCAATGCACTTGGGGATGATATCGTTTGACGTGCCAACAGGTGCATCCATGCAGGGATGATGTGTCTGGTAGTTTAAAGGTTTCACTGGACGTCAAACGTTCAATTTAATCCAGAAAAATTCACCAACATTTTCATCTGTCTTGTGGTTGATGAGTGGTTGATGAGATATCGTTCAAATAATTGTTTAATGATTGTTTCTATTGGAGAAATAATTATTTCAGGGTTGTGATCCTGGGGGTTCTCCTGGGAATAGCAGAATGGGACAGGAGTGTAACGTGCGTTCTACTTCTCTGGGAGTACGTTCTCGGTTACCTCGGGATATTCATCACCTCGATGGCCATCGAAGTGGCCATTTGCATCCTTGCAACACGTGGAAGCATCCTCGATACTGTTCCAAGGGCCCCTATGCAGCATCTTTTGTACATTAAAGTGGGTGAGTACCCATTTCGTACATCCTAATAAAATATTAATCCGTCTGGAAGACAGACACTGGAATACTCCAGTGCATCTGCCAATCGAAAATATTTTTGTTTGTATCGATATTCGATCCAACGTGGGTCGAGACATTATTTGACATTTTCCACTGCACGACCTACTTCACGTACTTTATTATACTGTCCCGGGGGGACCTTTTCACTTGCTAATGCTGCGAATTTCACCCGGGGGAGGCTTTCATCGCTCCATTTTTTAATAGATTTTACTGGCTTTTCCCTGTTTTTCATTTACTGCGCGCCAATTTTTCACATTTTCATTTCAATGTTTCTACTGCAATAAATATAATAAAGACTTTCAATTTTCATTCAATTCTTTTCTTTCCTTTTCATTTGAGAACCGATTGCGCCAATAAAAAATGTAATTACTCGACTCGACGGCCACCGAGTGGAGAAAAATTTTTTAATTATCGCAATTTTTCTAAAGATCTCTTTTAAAGAACTGAAAAATAAGTGAAAATCCGGTGATATTCTTGGAGAGCTTTCCCGTTAATTAATCAAACTGATGAGCGATTTACAATAGAAATATTTGGTTTCAGTTTTATTATTATTAGAAACCGGATGGTTGTGCGCTGGTGTCACGTGGCTTGTGTATTATTACACGAATTGTCCAGCAGCTCAAGCGAAGGAAGTTATTCTAGGTAAATAAAATGAAAAATCGACACTAGTTCACTGGGTCACTGAATGCCTCTTCCAGGATTAGTTATTTGCAATTGGTGTATATTGGCGTCGGTGATGGTGACGGTGTGGTGTACTTATGACGCCGCAGGAAGATCCTGGGTGAAGATGAAGAAATACCAGAGGAGTATGAGAGAGGCTGAGTCTCGGGGTGGAAGGATGCACTACAAACGCAGTGGAAGTAGAAATAGAAACTGGAGACAGCGGTATGAGTTTATCGAGTTTAACGTCATTAACACTTCATCTTCATTTTATTTAATTAATTGGCGCTATTTAGGAAAGTTATTAGAGCGTACCAGGACAGCTGGGATAATCGCTGTCGGATGCTGTTTTGCTGCATGGGAAATTCTGACAGGAACAGAGTGAGTTTCGAGTTAATTACCGTACTCTGTTGAAAACTTTCGTACAAATTCATTCTCCGTTTTAAATCCGGTATTCGACGAATGAAACCACGGATATTTCCTTTGAGACTCAAATATTCTCTGAAAATTCTGTTCCCCAGAATTCCTTCGCTGATATAGCGAGACTCTTGAGCGATTTCTTCCGTGATCTGGACGTTGTACCATCGGATGTAGTGGCTGGTCTGGTTCTTCTCCGGAAATTTCAAAAAATCGAGAGAGAGTTGATAGTGAAACAGAGAAAGAATGACACTTACGAGTTTCTCTCTGGCGTTCCAATAACCCCGAGGACAAAGTTCCTCTCCCTCACGGAGGACGGTGATTTGGCACATTTTCAAGACACCATTCACTACATGCACTTCGCCCTGGCAGCCTACGGTTGGCCATTATTTTTTATCAATCACACAACGGGCCTCTGCCAATTGTGCACCAGGTGAATTACTCCGTCCCCTTATCCCTCGAAAACAACTCAATTCCACATGACAATTGGCAATTCCATTTTTTTTTTTCAGATTGCGATGTGGTTGTTTACCCTGCATAAAACACGAGGACGATGCAATAATCGTGGAGGACAATTGCTGCCAGTGTAACTACGCGGCACTTCGTCGAATGGTTGAAATTGGAGAGATTGAAATTATTTACGCGACGTTTCACGTTGACGTGGGGGAGACTCCCTTCTTCGTGGCTCTTGATTACACGAAGAGAAAAGTTGTCATCAGTATTCGTGGTACTCTCAGTATGAAGGATGTTCTCACGGATCTCAATGCTGAGGCTGAGGTGTTGCCTCTGAATCCACCGAGAGATGACTGGCTCGGGCACAAGGGGATGGTTCAGGCTGCCGAGTACATCAGGAAGAAAATCTACGACGAGCAGATCATCTCCACGGCTTTTGCAAAGGTGAGACCATTCTCCGGGACATTTATCATTTTAATTTCAATTTATCAGTGAATTTTTGTTGTTCAATTACCGATTAATTGTCAATTAATCTTGACAAACGCTCAAATCAATAGCTTTTGATATAAATCCAGTTGAATTCTCATTGAAATTAATTTTGATAAAAGTTGAATGGTCTTTTCTCCCCAGGATTTAACGAGGGGAACGGATCAATTCGGTTTGACACTCGTGGGGCACTCGCTGGGTGCAGGAACTGCCTCGATCCTGGCGATACTTCTGAGACAGGAGTATCCAGACCTCGTGTGCTACTCCTACGCACCCCCTGGAGGCCTTCTCAGCATGCCAGCTCAGCAGTACACCCAGGAGTTCATAACGTCAGTTGTAGTTGGCAAGGACGTCGTCCCCAGGATTGGACTCAGACAGATGGAGAGTCTCCGTGCCGATCTGATAAACGCCATAAAACGCAGTGTCGATCCCAAATGGAAGACAATTGCTTGCTCAGTGATCTGCTGTGGATGCGGATCCACACCGACATCAGCTGCTAATTTGGAGGCCGGTGGATGCATTGCTGAGTACCAGAGGGATAAGGATCAGGCGAGGGCACAGGGAATCGTTCCCAGTGACTCCAGCATTGCCCTCACCCTTCACACTCCACTTTATCCACCTGGCAGGATCATACACGTAGTCAGACATCATCAGAGCAAGGGAGAGTGAGTTATTTAATTATTATCTCACTTCATTATTATTTTCTATCTCGACTGTTGTTTCAGGCCGAAGTACGAGTCCAGGTGGAGGTGAGATATTCCCTTTCTTATTATATTTATATTTTTTATTTTGAATTATTGATTTTTAACGGTTAATTTTTGGTTTGCAATTATTTTAGATTATTTGAGTTTAGGATTTTGTGGTAATTGTACTTTCAGGAATTTCTTGAGAAAAAGAGAGCCGGTTTATCAGGCACTCTGGGCTGGTCCTGGTGATTTTGATGAAGTCCTCATCAGTCCGGTGATGATCCAGGACCACATGCCAGATACTATGCTGAAGGCTCTTAATAAGGTAAGCGATCGACAAATTATGAACGATGAGGAAGTGAGGAGACAGATACCGATAAGTAGAAGTTCCTCGGTGAAACCGGGCACATACGAGCCACTCGAGGAGACTATTGAGAGTCAAGATATCATCGATACTGATATCCCTGAAACTCCACCTATTTGTCGAAATGATATTGTCAATTGTTCAAATAACGCGGGTTTTTCACCCGAGACTGGTAGCAATATTGTCGTTGATGTGCAAGTGCACGATGCTGATTAATTAGTTTGTTCATTAGTTAACTAGGTCATTTAATTTGAGCTGATTACTATTTTAAATAATTGAGGAATTCATATGACAGAATTCAAATTCAGTGAACGATAAATCGAGACACGTCGAATTTCACTGTATTAAATACCGATAAATCTCGTGGACTGTTGATTTTAGAGAAAAGTGTCAGAAGATCATTTCTGTCGGGAATTTTATTCACTACAAAAAAGTTTCTCCGTATTTTCCTCTGAGATCAATTGTTCTTGAGATAGATCGGTGTAAATTGGAAGTGAAAAAAATTTTGAATTCCATTTATCTCACTCGATTTTATCTGGCTGTTGAATTGTTGTTGCACAGTTTGTGGTAAATTTCAACAGTCCACTCCTGGGTGATAGTGTTGAGTTGGCTGTGACTTTGGAGATTCAAAGAATTTACATTCCACATTCTTCTCCCCTGTCTTCCATCCGTATTTTCAATAGCTGCACAACTCGGATAACTCTTATTCCACACGTGTAACTCCTGTCTGTTGGGGCTTGGGGAACGGGAAGTTTAGATTCTTTTTATATATAAGCTCCGGTGACTTCAGTAAACGATTGTCACGAGACGTGGAGAACTCCCGTTGGGGCCATTTTTAATAATGACACTTCCCGCTGCGCTCGGTATATTCATCCGCGTGGGGCACAGAGAATTGGTTTTATTACCTCTTGAATAAAGCATTTTGGATGTAGAAAATCGATAGCTCAAGGGCTCCCTTTCAACCCCATTGCATCGTCAATTAAACTAGCAGAACCCTCGATTCGTAGGTTCGCAGTTTAATCAGGGATTCTGTCACGAATTTTTCTCACAGAAATCAGTAACGCAGAGGTAAAATCCGGTACTGAGAAAAATGATATATATCTCCCAATCTAAAGAAAATTACGAAATTTTCATAAAAATCTTTTTTGTAGAACGAATTCAGGGCTATGAAAAAGGTATGAATAAAAATTTCGCTATCTCCCCTAGATTCCGAGATTGTTTCATTCTCCCGATAAAGCACTTCAAGCGCAGGAGTTTTTTTCTTTGAAGCAACAATTGTTAATTAAAATCCCAGTTCATTCAATGAATCGTGAATTTAATTCGGTATCTACCTCGAGTTCTCATGTTCAGAACGCAAAATAAACAATTATAAATTTTCCATTTAATTAAATAACGAGAAATCGAGAAACTTGCGTCGAATTCAATTAAATTTTCACGCAAAAGAAAAAATGATGGTTGAAGCCCCATAGCAATCCTGGAGGAATGGAATGAGTACAAAAAAAAAATGTACCATCCAATTCTCCAATTTATTTGATTCACCCGCAATTTTTTGTTCACGTGGTTATGATTTTTTCATCGGACTCTCGTATCCAGGAGAAAAAAAAAAACGTGAGGAAGACGGGAACGACGGGATTGCATGTAAGCCACCGGGGGAATGAAATCCGATTGTAACCCCCAGCCCCCAGCCCTCAGCCCTCAGCCCTCCCATAACCCGGATGGAACTATGATATTTTAATGGTTGTGATGCCATGGAAAATGTTTACTGCCTGGTATTTCCCAGGGCCTGCCAAATCCCCCGGGGGAGAGGAATGTCGAGGATCTGGCACTATTTGCCACAGTGGATTGTTGTAATTATCAGTTGTACGATCTGGCGCCAAATGTCGAAGTAGTTTCTCGGATAAATGCCGAGGAAAATGACTTTGACGCCCGATCTACTTGATAGATGAAAATGTACAATTACATATCCACGCGCATGTGTAATTATTTGACACAGCATGACGCGTAAGTAGACATAACGTAGATAGGAAAGAAAAATTATTTTTCGTTATCACCAACTAGCCAACACCTGGAGTTGATGTACATAAAGTAGAATTTCTATTACTGTTACTATTATTTGACTGTATGAATAATTGCCTCACATCTGCCAGATTTAATTATTCATACTGCATTGCATCAATCTTCATTAACGAGTCTCTCTGATTTTGTTGTATAATTTTTATGTAAACTCCATTGTATTGGTTGAATACAGAGTAATTATTTGTGGAAAAATGTGCGTTATGATTTATATTTTTTTTCTAGTTATAGTAAGTATGAGAAATCCTCCCTTCTATCCTTTCATAGCACACCTTGGGGTGAAGTGGCGAGAGTCAATTATGTAACTAGTCCTTTTGAATATATCAAAAAAATAATCGATTGGTGGAAAAAATTATTGATTTCACGAATTACAATTCGTGGAATTACAATTAATCACGTTTCATCGTAAATTTAATCGTTAGACCTAGATTTTTTTTTGCAGAGCGTTCTGTGTGGATTTTTAATGAATCCTCTCCCGCAATTTAATTTCAAAATTTAACGACTGCAACCAGCGAAAGAGGTGGATATCCCCGAGGAAATTCCCCCACTAGTCTAAAATATTCATCATAACATGACTTCTTTATTCGTTGGACTCATCTCATCCACTTCACCCCTGGAATAATTCAAATAGCCGAGTGTTTAGCACTTGTAGCTTAATGTGACGGCCTTAATTAGAGTGGTTAATGAATTCAAAGCTTGAGAAGCAGATATTGCGATTAATTAGTAAGTTCGATGAGATTCGATCGAGGGAAAAATGTGTGAGATCGATAAATAGAGTGAATGGATAATTATCAGTGGCTGAGGGTGTGTGGTGTGGATTAGGTGTCAGCGGACAGGCAACATTTTACTGAGATTGGAGGAACCAGGGTGACTGACGACAGCTGTGACAGGAGGTGCGACGATTCACCGATTCCACTTCAGCATCACCGTGACGCCGACGTCTATGCCACCACACCCTCTTCCTGCCACGATACCAGGTATCACAAATCGTCAAACCCTCGAGGCCAATGATTAAGATCCTCAAACGTTCACCAGGAGGCTAGCGCCACTAGAATCGTTATCATGTTGACCTTATCTCACTGGCCTTGAGCGAGAATTTTAATGTCTTGCAACCGATACTTCCCAGTGGAAGTTTTTTTTTTTTCTTTTCATCATCATTCAAACAAATCGTCATGGTGTCGTCATTAGAATTTATACAAATTGTTTTTATCGTTTTAGTCAGTTGGTTTTTCGTTTAGGAAGAGGGAAAATTAATCGTTAATCCTGTGAATCAGTCATTGAAGCTGGGGGAATTATTTTACTCCAGGAGAAATTTATTGGTGATAGTTTTAGAAAAATTCAGCTTCACCCTTCAGTGACTGACGATTGAATGATGCATTTTACCCTCGGAAATATTGTTTTTATAGTTATCCCGTTCACACATTTGCACGAGTAGATGACGCCTAAAATATGCGCTGGGTCGAGATACTCTTCTCACATGGACTCTCATAAAAAATTCATCAATCGAGTTCCGAATGAATAAAAAAAATCAATAACAAATCATTTGGCTAATTCTCACGACTCGCGTATCGGATTAAAATCTCGTCCCTAGAATTCCCAAAATAATATACAAACTAAAATAAAAAAACTGTGTCACTCACCATCGCTGCATGTAGATGGTCCATTGCACGTGCATCCATCCATCCTGAAACCCAAATTAAAAATAAAGCCATTAAATGAAAATAAAAAAAAAACAGCATAAAGAAAATATCTCGAAAAAACTGAAGACAAAAAGAATAGAATCTCGAGAGAGAGAGAGAGAGTCCCCAGGGGTTTGAACCAACAGATTGCATGAGTCGTCGAAGTAGAAATAAATAAATAAATCGAACCGTGAATGCCTGTCTAGACGAGTGTGAGAATAGAGAAGAGCACAGTAAATGGTCATCAAGTTGAACCAAAAAAACAGCAATAAGAAAAATAGAAAAAGAAATTAACTGACCACCTGGACGACGTCCTGACGACCAGGTTGTAACAACCCTGGGGCCAACGAAGCCACAACGAGTTGCGTCAGGACAGACGTCGTCGGCCGAGGCATCAGAGGTGCGTGAACCTCTGGAGATCCAGGGTCTGGAGCTCGATCAGGAAATGCGTGCCCTCCTGTCATCCCATAGCCCCGGAAAAAGCCGTTCATTAACCGAGGGTACACCACCCCACAGACTATGTCTCGAGACGAGCTTCACATCCCTCCAGAGCCCCACAGATATACCCCAGGCTGGACGCGAACTGAGTGTCGATTCCCACGGGATACCCTGGGAGTACGTCAGTACTGCCAGTGAATTAACTACCCCGAGGCACGACGATAACAAATTGTAAGACATTTTCCAACCTCCGATCACACGAAAAACAAACAAATCTATTGAAAACCTATCGACAAACAAACACGAGAGATCAACTGATCATAGTGTGCTCGTTGTTTATTTTAAATAACTTTTCAAATTATTTTTACTATAAATTTATTACCGTTATCGCTAGGTGCTTCATTGCAAAGCTTCAGACGAGAGATTTTCACTTGACATTTCATCACATTTCATAACTCATGGTCACGATTTATCGCTTTTTATATTGGTGTTTTGTGGTAGCTTTTGGGGGCATTGGGAGAGAAAAGTACTGGTGATAATGATTGTTATCGTCTTCAGGTTCAATCATCCTCTCAGTTGGGAGTACACACAGAGGATTGCACCTCTTGCGACACCAGAGACAATGTCTGAGGCGAGCAATCCACCGTCACCCTTGCCCCTCACCAGGCCCATAAGGAGAACACCTAAAATACCTGGCAATCTTTCCACTGCTGCTGATGATTTCAGGAGTAATTTGCACTTTGCCATGCTCACTGTTAAGAATTGTAGTTTCAGGGATGATAACCCTGGGGGTAGTAATAGCAGTAGTGGAAATAGTGAAGCTAGTTTCGAGACTGCCAGGAGCAACAGACAGCCACCACCACCTGTACCACGGAGGAGGGACTCTGTTATTTTGACGAGGTTTGTTATTCGTCATTATCTCATTTATAGTCAAAAATCATAAGTCATTTTTTCACTTGACACTTATCAATAGGCAAATCAATACATTTGGTAATGAAAATACTATATATGTATAATAAAAAACGTAGAGTAAAGAATTAGTGAACTGTTATTAAAATGTGAGAGTAGATGTCTCTGGGAAATTTTTCTCGTGGACGGATGTCGATGAAATTGAATTTAAAAAAAAAAAAATTGGAAAACAGGGAACACAACGTCTGTACAGCAGCCTGTTGTCGAGACGATCACTCAGAGGTCTCGACCCCGTCCTCATCTCACTCGGTCATAATAACTGAGACCTGCCACCGAGTCCAGATTGATTTTCCGTATGCAGAGAGGGTGGCATCCAACCTGGACATCTATGAGACCAAACGAGAGACACCCGACGTCTTCCTGAGCGTTAGAAATTCCCCGGAGTGCAAACGCCTGATGGCACCAGCAACAGATCTTGGAGCTGAATGGAAAAAACGTTTTGACACGAGCACTGGGATCTCCGGTGATGCCTCACTACCTCTGCTACGAGGTCTATCCCCGAGCCCTGGGCACACCCAGCACACATCACCCTTCTTCAACGCCAAGAGGAAGAAATACGTCTATCCTATTACCCTGGTGGGCAGGGGCGAGAGCAGTGTCTAACGTTTTAATTCTGTAATCGAGTGGCAGAGGATAACAAGTGCATTTACTAAACGCATAAAAATTCCAAGAATATCTCCGAATCTGACAGAGATACAGAAATTTTTGTAATTGCCTTTTTTGAGGCTCTCAACGTACCCCACAAAAAAGGTTCTCAGACAAATTTCGATATCTCTCGTTGATTCTGAGATATTCCGATATTTATGTAATTTTTTTACATTAAAAAAAAATGAAATGTCAAAGTTGAAAATTTGGAGTCACAATAGAAAAAAAAAGAGATGGAACAAGTCGAGTTGTTACCCTTTACCACTTCACTACTGAATTGAATGTTTTACCTCAACAAATTGTACAATAAACGACAGACAGAGGATTGAGCCATGGGACCACGATAATTGAGAATTGAAAATCGAGAAATAACAGAGGCCTTAGTCGGTTGTATCGCCAGTCCCTGTGGCCTGACAGCATCATTTCCTCGCAGAAATGCTTCTATTCACGACCTTTATTGAATTTACACTTGTCCAAGGGCCTATTGTACCATAATTCCACCCATCGACCCCAGAAGTCACCCCTCGAAATGCAAAATCAACTCCTCCTACTATTAAGAAATAAATCACAAAAACATCCAGCCCACAATATTCTGTAAATGAATTTTTTACATACTCCTCGCTATGTAGCATAATGAACCGTTGTAAATAGACGAATGTTCAATTAATGTAGTTGTAAAATTGTATTTAAAATCAATTAGACGTGTCAGACTTGGAAATTCATACCTTTTCTTTCCATTTAGAGTGACATTTTTTTACCATTCTATTTATTCAGAGGATCTTTTGTTCATGTAACCACAGTGGCATTGTGATTATTTAACTTGTTGAAAACTGTGATCAAATGGTAAATAATATTCCGTTTTAATTCTGTCTTAAATTGTTATTGTTCAATCCCATTCAATTTAATAAAAATCCTAAAAAATCTCTCAGTTCCACGAAAATTCCTGGATTTCCCCGAATTATTATTACAATTCAACTGATCAAAGTGGATTACGCGTTCTATTTTGTCTATCACAAAAAATCGAGACTAAAAATAGAAACAGGATATTTCGAGCTTTTGAGTGATTGAATGAAAAAATTCGGGTGGTTTCCTGCTTTACCCTGAACCTCCCAGAGGTACCTGGAGTCTCCACCAGGGCTCGGATGAGTTGTTCATCTCCAAAAAGAGACAACTAAAAAAAGAGCAGAGCAAACAAACACGTAAGAGACAGCGGAGAGTCTCGGACGTCTCGGAGAGTTGACAGTCCCAATTTATCGAGGGGTTTATATCGAATAGACTGACAATTTCAAGTGTTATTCTAACCTCAGCAGCAGTGCGTGTCATCTGGTGAATCATCCTCGATAATTCGCGATCTCCTGCTCTAGTTTTCGTGAGACACCCGAGAGAAAATCCCATTGATGGGTAAATCAGTGTTCACCTGACATTTTCATCGCTCCATTAATCCCACCCCACGTCCCCAGGTCGCTGTAGTCCCAAAGTAATCTCTCAATAAAACCAAAATACTGAAGCATTAATTTCGAAGTAATAAAAAAATAATACCTAAAGACTTCCAGAAGACTTCTATTCCATTTCCACTCCCTGAATAATGAAACCCTCAGAATAATTCACCCCTTCTCCTAAATCTTACCAAGAGGATGATGGAGTTGAGCCACAGTCTGACCCTCAACGAGGACGCCCTGGACCAGATACCCGAAGCAAAACGTCCAGTCTTCGTGTTTGAATGGCTGCGTTTCCTGGACAAAGTGCTTGTGGCAGCCCAGAAGAACGACATAAAGGGCTGCCAGCAGAAGCTAGTGGAGCAATTGACACGTCATATGCAGGGAGCCCCAGGTCCTCCAACCAGAAGACTGATAGCCCGTTGTCTAGCAACTCTCTTCAGCGTAGGTGACACCTTCCTCCTCTTCGATACAGTCAACAAGTGCAACGATATCCTCAAGAACAAGGATGACTCCCCGAGCTTTTTACCCACTAAACTCGCAGCAATTTGCTGTGTGGGTGCAATGTACGAGAAATTGGGGAGAATGATGGGTCGATCTTACGAGGAAACTGTCCAGATCCTGATAAAATCCCTGAGGTCAGCTGAGTCTCAATCGAGGATCGAGATAATGCACACCCTGGAGAAGGTCTGCGCTGGGATGGGTACGGCAATAACAAACGTTCACAAGGAGATCTACAAAGTATCGAAACAGTGTTTAACTGATCGAGTGATGGCTGTTCGTTGTGCAGCAGCTAAGTGTCTCCTGGAGATGCTGAATCACGCGCCATTTTTGTATACCAGTGAAATCGAGAGTATGGCAACTCTCTGCTTCAGGGCATTCGAGGGTTCCAACTACGAAGTAAGATGTGCTGTTGCCAAATTACTGGGTACTTTAGTAGCAATGACGCAATTACCACCACCCAAGGGGAAAAACCTCAGCCAGAGTAAATCGATGAAACCAATATCCCTGGACGAGGTATTGAATATTCTAATGTCTGGCTTCCTGCGTGGTGGTGTGGGTTTTCTCAAGGGGACTGGCGAGATAATCAAGGGGAGCTCAGGTGTTAACCGAGAAGTACGAGTCGGTGTAACCCACGCTTACGTCGTTTTCGTGCAAATCCTGGGGGGCGTCTGGTTGGAGAGAAACATCGGGGCAATAGTCGCCCACGTTCTGGACCTAGTTGCCAATCCAAAAGCCGCTAGTTCCCACGTGGACGCCGTTTACTCTAGAAAGTGTATAAATTTTATTCTTCGGGGTACTATTGGAAAACTCCTTGGGGAAGGGGCACAGGCAGCTGCCTGCAAGGAGACCGCCCACGTTATCCTGAAGCAGATGAATTCCATTGACTTCAATCCCGAGAATGCCAAGGACTGCAACCAAGAGACACTCTTCAGCCAGCACTTGTTGGTGTGTGCCCTTCAGGAAATGGGAAATTTAATTTTGGGACTGGGTACGACAGCCTCGAATCTCCTGACAGAGGCCTCTTTGAATCTCATTGACACGACGATGGCTGTCCTGGTACATCCCTGCCAAGCAGCTAGACTGGCGGCTGCATGGTGTCTCAGATGTATTTGCGTGGCGGTTCCCAGTCAGATCACACCTCTCATCGATCGGTGTGTCGAGGGTATCGAAAATATGCGGAGCTCTCCCGAAGCAATTGCTGGATACAGTGGAGCACTGGCTGCAGTTCTGGGGAGTGTGAGACTCTCGCCTCTTGGGGTGCCTCATACCAAGGGAAAAATTATTTTTAATACTGCTGAGGAGCTCCTCAGGAGTGCCAGTCAAAACAGCAGACTCTCCCTCAACAGAACTCATGCTGGTTGGTTGCTCATTGGAGCTATTATGACTCTGGGTACTGCTGTGGTCAAGGGACTACTACCCAGGATGCTCCTCCTCTGGAGAAACTCTTTTCCAAGGTCCTCCAAGGAATTGGAGAGTGAGAAAGCACGAGGGGATGCCTTCACCTGGCAGGTAACTCTCGAAGGACGAGCTGGGGCTCTCTCGGCAATGCACAGCTTTCTTCTTCACTGTCCTGAACTTCTCAATGATGATATAACCAGGAGACTACTCACTCCCATCGAGTCTGCTCTGGCTATGCTGACCAATTTGTCACCTGTTCTCAAGAATTATGGTCAACAGCTCAAGGCACCCACTGCAATGGTCAGGCTCAGACTCTACGAGACTCTCTTACTACTTCCTCCACAGACTTTCGAGGGCTCTTACACTCATTTACTCAGGATGCTCGTCTCGGAGTTCACGTTGACGGAGAATCCGGGAAACACCACGACCTCGTTATTGAGAATTGTGTGTCATGCCAATGATTCAGTTATTTTGGGTACATGGCTGCAAGAAACCGAGCATCGGACCATTGAGGATCAGGTAATTGAGGTTTTAAATTATTTTTTTTTCTGCCGTGTTTCATTGGCTATTTACAAATGTGGGAATTTTTCGTTTTTTTTTTCATGCTAAGATGGAACCGTGTCGAAGATCCGACGTCGAACACGTGAGTTCAGTCATTAAATTGGTCTAAAATTAAAATGTACTATTTACGCGAGGATTCCGGGAATTTTAGAAGTAGAAATGTGAAATTATCTTCATTCACGATAATTAAAATCACATCCCCCGATATTTATGTGATGTATAATCTTTGGGGAAGTAAAGAGCCTTTTTTTTTTAATATATTGCAGCTACAGCCAAACAGTGCAGCAGGTTCAGGTGCCCTGGAGCACAACGCGTGCTGTCTCTACCGTCCAGTTCCCTCGGACGAGATAATCCCAGGTCCACTCCCCCTGGGTGTCGCAGTGATCGACCTCTCGGTCTCCCTCTTCGGTCAGATTTTCCCGAGAGTAGCCAACAAGCACCGCCTCCAGATGCTGGACCACTTCGGTGAGTGCATAAAGCACGCAAAATCAGGTCGTCAGGAGGCGATTCAAATGAACGTCTTCACGGCAGTCCTGAGTGGTTTGAAAGGTCTGAACGAGGCGAAAACGGGTTTTGGCCAGGAGGACGTGAAGAAATTGGCGACGAATTTGATAATAAGTACGCTAGTGAGTGGTAATTCAATTCTGCGTTGGGCAGCAGGTGAGGCAGTTGGTCGTCTGGCCCAGGTGATATCCGATCCGAAATTCACAGCAGAATTGGCTCAGACGAGTTTCGATCGTTTGAAATCAGCTCGTGACGTTGCCAGCAGGACAGGTCACTCCCTGGCTCTGGGATGCCTGCACAGATACGTCGGTGGAATGGGTTCAAGCCAGCACTTGAACACGAGTGTGAGCATTCTCCTGGCCCTTGCCCAGGACAATTCATCACCAGTTGTCCAGGTATGGGCACTACATGCCCTGGCCCTGATAGCAGACTCCGGTGGTCCCATGTTCAGGGGCTATGTCGAGCCAACGCTCTCCCTGATACTCACCCTCCTCCTCAATGTGCCACATTCCTACATAGACGTTCACCAATGCATTGGAAAGGTCCTCTCAGCTCTAATCACTACAATTGGTCCAGAGCTCCAGGGTAACACCTCCTCCATCTGCATGGCACGCTCATCCTTCCTCTGTGCCTGTGCCATAATGCAGGATCACCAGGATCCTCTCGTCCAGGCCGAGGCCACTGGATGCCTCCAGCAACTCCACTTATTCGCCCCCAGACACGTCAATCTTTCCTCTCTGGTACCAAATCTCTGTCGTACATTATCCAGCAATCATCTTCTACTGAGAAAAGCTGCGATATCGTGCCTGAGACAATTGGCCCAGAGGGAGGCGAAAGAGGTATGTGAGCACGCCATGAGTCTTGCCAATGAAAGCAGAGATACAAATATCGTCGAGGGTCTCACCATCACCGAGACTGGTCTTCCTGGTGTGCTCTTCAGCATGCTGGATACGGAAACTGATAGTGCACTGATTAAAGATATTCATGATACTTTAACCAGCATGCTGCAGATGCTCGCCGCTGACAATCTGTCACAGTGGCTGTCACTCTGCAAAGATGTTCTCACAGTTGCGTCTGAGTCGAGCAATCCTGAGGAAATTGCTGCAGTGACCACTGACGACAGTGCAGTGGATAATGATTCAGCTGATGCTGAGGGGGACGACGATCAGGCTGAGTTTCACGCTGATGAATCCAAACAGCGTCCAAGTGTCTCCCCCAGGTGGCCGACGAGAGTGTTCGCTGCCCAGTGCATCAGGAGAATCATCGCGACATGTATGAACAATAAACAGGCGCACTTTGATTTGTCAATTGCCAAGGAGCTACAGCAGATTAAGGGACGAGGGGATTATCTGGTCCTTCATCTGTCTGATCTTGTACGGATGGCTTTCATAGCAGCCACCAGTGACTGCGATCCACTACGTCTCGAGGGACTCCAGACCCTCCAGGATATCATTGATAAATTCGCCAAAGTACCAGAGCCGGAATTTCCAGGGCATCTGCTGCTCGAGCAGTTCCAAGCCCAAGTGGGTGCTGCCCTGAGGCCAGCCTTCTCTGCAGACACAGCCTCTCATGTTACTGCAGCTGCCTGCGAGGCCTGCAGTGCCTGGATTGGCAGTGGTGTTGCACGAGATCTCAATGATCTCCGTAGGGTGCACCAGTTGTTGGTGTCGTCATTGGAAAAATTGAGGGAGGGGAATACACGTCCCCAGCTGTACAACGAGAGTCTCTCGACCCTAGAGAGGCTTGCTATTCTCAAAGCCTGGGCTGAGGTGTACGTTGTTGCCATGATAAACGAGGGAACAGCACCGAGCACTCTCGACAAAACGAGAAATTCCAATCCGACGGGGTCTGACGATCTATTCGGTCAGTTTGAGTCACAAAATGAGAGTCTCCTGAGCCTAGTACAACCAGAATTACTGAGCCTGAGTCAACACTGGCTGGCAGCCCTCAGGGATCACGCCCTGCTGTCTCTTCCACCTGAATTCTCCAGCCAATTACCGCACGATGGAGGTGCATTCTACACGACTGACACCATGGAATCAGCCAGACCTTATTACGCTAAATCCTGGGCACCGATTCTCCATGCAGCCACCCTGTGGCTCAATGCCAGAGGCTTCAACCTTGATTCTGACACTTCTGACGTAAACAATCCAGCCTCAACCCCGAATAACAACCGAGGAATCAGCAATGTCAACAACAACACAGACAATACTAAATCCAATTTCAATATCGAACGTTTCCACCTGTTATTTGGCATCTGCATGGAAGCCCTCTGCAGCCCCAGGTCATCAGAGTCTACTCAGAATATCGAGACGTGCCTGAATGCCTTGTACACACTCCTGGACTCATCCTGGACGAAACAAGTACTCACGAAGGACTCGGCCCTGTGCATTGAGCTCTGCAATGTCCTCCATCGATTGATCCTCACGAGGGAGAGTTTCGTGGTCCAGAGGATGTCGATGGAGGTGTTGAAGCAGGTGATGAGAGCCACACAGGAAAGACTGAATGACCAGAAGAAAGCAAAACTCAAGGAGCTGACACCTGACAATCAAGACGCCAGAGACACTGATCTTGATCTCCTCGGTGAAGGAGCCACTGGTGAATTAATACCCGGAGAATCCCTGGTATTTGCAATGGTCGAGGTATGTTTGTGCCTCCTGGTGAGGCAGATTCCTGCGTTGAATCCCAATCCCGATGGAGCCACGGCGATCCTCTCCCAGAGGGGATTTCTCTTGACTGAAGACAGTGGAAAGCTCATTGCCTCAGCCCTGAGCGTCATGGAGTCCCTTACAAGTCTCTGTGCACCCCAGGGTGCCATCTCCATCCTACCGACTCTTCTCTACCTCACCACTGGTGTAATCCACGAGATCGGGCTTCGTCCTGACAATCAGAATGCCAAAATCACCACTGAAGTGTCAATTCATGCTGCTTTGCACTGCCTCAAGTGCCTGATCACAGATAAATATGCGAGGGATGAAAGGAGTCGAGAGCAGTACACTGCACTTCTTCAGAGTGCCCTAGCCAAGATTCTCGATCTCGCCAAGACTGGTGACGATGGGGCGAAGATGGATGAGGTGACCATGATGCTGGGAATTGGTGTTTTTGTCCTGCATGCTGCACCCCAGGTCGTCAGCGCTCTCAATCTTCTCTTTCCCTGTATCAATCACTTCAGACAGGCGATGCAGTCCAATAACACTCTTGTCAAGCTCAAGTGCGTTCAGACCCTGAAGACAATTTTTCTTTACCCCGAGAAGAGCATCAGCACACCGTACATCCATGCACTGGCCCCGAGAATTGTTGAGTACTTGTACAGTGACCGGAGTCAGCTCGTGGAGTCCGAGGTGGAGTTGTCATACACTCTGGAGTGCGTTGGGACTATTGAGAGCCTCATAGCACTGGCTGAACCTGGCAATCGTAAGTCTCTCCATTTATTCTCTCTTTTTCAAGAACTCGTAGTGATAATTGTTGTTTTTCACGCGATCATTAGGGGATTTAATGCAAGGTATTTACGGATGTGTTTTTTATCACTCGGTGTTCAGGGGTAATTCAATATTTAATGATGTGTTTTTAATTATTTTTTTTCCAGGGATCCAAATGCTCACTCTGTTGGTCCCGATATTGATAAATTATCTTCTTGACGAGAATAAACTTCAGAGGGGAAGCAAGTATCAAGTTACACTTCATCAGCAGAGTTTCCAGTGGCTGAGCAAAATAGGACCGAAGTATCCGCAAGAATTTAAGACTCTCATGTCACAGTCGACTGATTTGAAGACTAAACTCGAGAATGCTGTGCGTTTGAGCCACCAGCAAGCACAACGACACAATAAACATCCGGATACCCTCAAACCTATTAATAAAACAGCCACTCCATCGATTAAATTGAAGACAGATTTCTCGAATTTTAATTAGGGGCTGCGTCAGTGGATTGGTGATATTAGATTTAATTTAGGGGATTATTTCTTTTTAATTTTTTAAATTATTCGTTGGGTGCACTTTGCAGGGGATTTGTACAGAGTTTAGGAATTCATCAGGACTTGATCATGAAGCTTTTCGTTTTTTTTTTCTCATTTAGTTAATTAATTGTGGATTAAATTATTTTGGGAGGGAGGAATTGTCCATAATTTTCTGGTCAGTATATAGACCACTTGGCAATATTGGAATAAGTGCAAAACGAGAGAGGAGAAACTGTTACGACGAATCAAATGCAACGGGGAGAACTTAGAACGATAGATATGTAATAATTTAGAATCGATGTACAGAGTAGTGGAGAATTAGTCGAGTGTTCGAAATTCTATTTTTTTAATTTCCAATAGCACAAATGTAAAGGGAAATTGAATGATTTTTTATTATTGCTGTGGCATGAAGAGGTACGACAAATCTTCCTATTTTTATTGATTGATATTCAGTGAACCGATGCAACTGTTTTATTAGTTTACTGCTCTAACGAGGGGACTCTTACGAGGGGAGTGAAGATTTTTTAGTTATTTAGAGACACTAGAATGAGTAACTGTATAATTGTTAGGATAACAATATTCTCGTAAAGTCGTTTAGGAATAAATTAATCCCATTCATCTGCTCACCCTCAAACCCCTGTGAATGGATTTTAGTGGAATGATAGGACTTATAACTCTCGTCTAATGATTGAGGGAATCACCGTGAATAATTAATGGACAATTAATAAAAAGGAAATACCGTGGGAATGATGTCGAACATTGGGAGAATAGTCTCATACTAATTTAATCTGAGTGAAATATCGAATTGTCCAGGTCGAGAGTAATCATTTATATGTATGTATGGAATCAGTGTATAGAAAAAATTGTATCTGAGGTAGAAACAATGTCTTCCTTACGAATATCTAGAGGAGAATAGAAGAAATATAAAATAGAGATCCCACCAAAAATATTTATCAACTGTCGTCCATTTCTTTGATTCCCGATTCCCTGGATTCGAACTTCCCATCGATATGAGTCGATATGATTCGATTGGCGTTCATGAGTCGATTTTATTATTCGACTTTTTTTATTCGATTTTTGAGCGATAGCCATTATGCTCTTCTTTTTATGACTGGGTCTCATAATTCAATTAGAAGAACAGTCAGAATTAAATCTGATACATTTTGATTCGTCAAGAACTACTTGCTCTTCTTCAGGGAATAAAAGTGGAGTGTCAGTGTCGACAGAGCCGATAGTGTAATAAATATTTGCATCCACTAACCTCAAAATATCTGGAAATCCACAGGTAAGTGCAGTGAAGAATAATAACTGGTGATTGAATAATTGAAGAAGAGTTTTGCAAATGAGAGAAGGTCCTTTCAGGATGCTGAACTCGTCAGATCCTCGTCGTCCTGATAAGGAAATCAGGTACAAGCCGTCAGTGGCGAGTGGTCAGGCCCAGCCAGGTGATGATTTAACTCCTGACTACATGAACATCCTGGGGATGATCTTCAGCATGTGTGGACTGATGATGAGACTGAAGTGGTGTGCATGGGTAGCTCTTTACTGCTCGTGCATTAGTTTTGCCAATTCGCGAGTGACAGACGACACTAAACAAATACTCAGCAGCTTCATGCTGTCGATATCAGCTGTTGTTATGTCCTATCTTCAGAATCCTCAACCGATGACTCCCCCGTGGGCATCGGCTCTCCAATAATATTGCAATTATTCTCATCTCATTGAAATTTCAAGACCCTCATTAATTATTATGTATGAAAGACAAATGAAAAATTCTTTCTAAAATTCATTAATGAATGAATAATAAATAGATAAATGGCCATCAAAAGTGAGAAGTGATTAATATTAATAAATAAAGAAATTATAGTAAATTGATTCATAGACAATAGTAATCTGTTCACTTTATTTGCAGACTCGATAATTACAATGTTTCACGTGTGGTTCCTTATTTCATTTATCATGACGAATGTTACTCTCTTCAACGGATCACCGGGTCAAAGAGAATTTAAACGTTTGATTATAATTTGACATGTAATAACATAGTGTTGTCTTGTTTCTTGAAATTCATACGTAAATCACAAAGCGAAGAAAAGATACATTATCCTCCCTCATCTCTCATTATTGACCAATGATTAATTATTCAGGTGATAATTATCGACTCGATCATGGTACATAATGATAATATGTACAGGAACCTAAATGACGATTTCTCACTGTTTTATTTGTGTTGATTTATCTTCATTCGTTATCATTTGAAATTTGTGGCTTGTTTTGGGCGGTTTTGTCAACGGAATGCAACATTTCTCTCGACGTTATCATGATATTTCCCAATGATTTCCTTCATTGCGACGATTGATTGATTTATCTTCTGGCACTCAGTCAAGCTAATCCTACAGTGCAATTCACCATTTTATTTAATACAGACTGGTTATTTATCCATTAAATAAAAATTCACATTTGAACACTCAAATAAACTCTAAATTGCACGTATTCTCTTCAGGAAGCGAATTATCATTACGAAGTAATTCCACTCTCTTCCATAAAAATACTGTTTAATCCCTAATTATTGGTAATAATTTATGAATAATAATAAATATCGTTAATTTGGCCTTCCGTTATGGATTCGTAGCTTTCTCGCTTACAACTCTCGCGATTGAATAATTTTCCCACTCCCCCAGTCTCTTCCTGAATCATTATCATCCACAAATAATTTATCATCAGTGAGAAAACTGTGTAACGTGAAAAACTGTTATGCTTGCTGATGAAAAAGGGAAATGTACAGTAAAATCGATGAATAAGCGAGAAATTAATGTACAGACTCCATCAATGGACTCTTTATTAATAAGTTATGATGCAATGGCACAGTATGAAGACTAAATGAATTTAGTTTGCACTGCAGTTAAGGGCAATGAAAAAACATCAGGCATTCTACATAACGTTAATATTATGGGTTTAACTTAAAAATTAGTTGAGACGTGATAAACGTGCGGTTACATTTTTTTTTGACTAGATTTTGATTAGCTAACGATTGCAGAGATGTGCGCGAAAAAATTGATTAATCATTTTTCCCTCGTATTTAGCCTCTCCCAAGTTTCACTGATGCCCATCCACTCGGGCATTTAAAATTAATTAATGGTAGTCGCTAGATCTCAGATCTATCTTACGAATAACATACTCTGTCTTTTTATCATCTTTTGGTATATGTTTCCCCTAATGAACCCCTCGACGTTGCGCTCAACGACAAAACGACTCTTGTATTACTTATAAAAATTTTTCACCTCTAGTTCATGATTTTTCCTCGTACGAAGCATTACGACGCTATTCCCTTATTGAATTGCACAAGAACAATTATTGTACTGATCTTAAATGACTAGGATTATTAGAATAACTTGACTTAACTTTTTTTTTCCCCCTCGTGAATAATTTTGGTTTTTGTCTCCTAAATTGTCTCAGCGGTCGAGCCGCTATGCAATTAATGCTTGCCAATACATGAATAAAAACAAAATAATAAAAAGTAACTCTTCTGATTGAAAAAAAAACAAACATTTACAGTTATCTCATGGTATTAACAACTATTCAGAGGAATTCTAGCTGTTTATCAATTTTCTTTCATTACGTCTAGAGAATTTCCTCAAGGTTGAAACGTTCATTAAAAAAAATTGTTGCATTCTGTTGAAATTAATAAATTGAATTGATCGAGACTAGCACACTCGCCCAAATCCCCCATTATTTTCTATTAATATAATCTAACAAGGAGAACACTGCCTCGTCTTATTTTTCGTTTATCATTTTCATTAAGATCGAATAGCCGCAGGCAAATCATAACTACAAGAGACATTAATTTGCTGATTGGAATTATCACCTATTGTTACGTCTGCAGGATAAAATAAAACGATGGAACTGGTAGATTCGTTAATTATTCGTTAAATCACGAGACTCTCTTGCAGTTATGGGTGTATTCCACCTGCATATGGAATTTTCAGTGCATAGACAAGGTCAAGTGTCATACATTCACTATTGTACTCGTCATCGATACCAATTAACACGAGTATCAATCAATAATCCGATAAAGCATTTAAAAATGAGAATCGTACATAATTTACTAATTTTTTTGCATTTCTTTTTCGTTTTTTTTTGTACACATTATTCCTCATTTGTTAGAGATCCATAAAATAGCTAGAATGACTGAGACGGTATTGCAATTGCTGCAATAAACTAATAAAACCTCAAAACAACCCCTCCCCACGTAAATATCCATCACGAACAAAAAAAAGTATGTGAGCTTTTCGTAGATTCACATAAGCATTTTTTTAAAAAATGCCATCTCTCCCTCACAAGCATTATCGTTTGAGTCCCCCTCACTTGGTCTTTCAATCGATTTAAAAATAAAAACATTCTGCAAAAATGTATAATCCTCGGAGCAAATCACACCGCAGGGCCTCGATAAGTACATAAGTACCATCTCATTTATCCTCAATCAATATTGGGGATGGAAATTCATATCAGCCGGATAGAATATCTGTCATGACTGAGTCAGTTACTAGAAAAAACTTCTAATTACTTAATTTTTTATCCAATAGGTTATCACATTCCTATTCGGCTGTGGTAGAACTCTGCTGATTGTGATGTCAATCAATACCATTTGTCATTTTTCTCAGCAAGTCTCACGACTCTCTGCTGATTGCTGTCTCTGGGACTGGTCTGAATCGTCTGCACCTGGAATCAAATCGAGTCAAGGCAATCACAAATAACACTTCAATTTCTCCAGGACTGTTCTACTAAATAAAAAAAACAATTCATCCTCTCAAAATGAATAAAGTGAATGATCGGCAAAAGCACCTGAAGCAAAATAAAAAAGCCTCACTTAGCCAGCAACACAAATATAATTTTAACTACTCCCGATTAACTAGACTCCACACTGGTGGATAAAAAAAAAAATTACCTAGCATTGTTCTCAGCCACATGAGGTGGTAACGACGACGGTGGAAGTGGTGGTTGAGAAATAGGTGCTCCACTGCTGTCCGAGTCATTATCACTGCTCTCATCATTTCTTTTACCTGTATCAAGGAGATATGAGGGTACACCACGTGGATAAAACCTCGGTAGAACCTCGGAATTCGGTCTGGCCCTGCGCTGGGGTCTTTGGAATCTCAAATTGAGCTGACTCGCATCAGTCACGTACTTCTCACTCTGTCTACGTCTGCGTAGGGCCGGTGTACAGCCCGTAAGATTCTCATCCTCGGTGGAGCTTGTGGACGTTAACAACGGAGGACTGGGTCTTGCATCTGGCAATGTAGCGCATCTCCGGAGGGCTGGTGCCTCCGAGTGGACTGACAAGGGCTTTCCCTTCACAGCTAAAATTTACTTAATGTGTTAGTACCGCTAAGAAGCACTAAATCATCATTATCTGCTAGACAATTACAAGTGAAGTAATGATTCCTATGATTTTCAGTGGTTCGGGCTACTTCAAAAGCTTTATGCAGTGAAATAAATCCCTAAAATAATCAAAAAATGTATTCCTCCTACAGCAAAATGAACATTAAAAAAAAATTAATTGAAGGAGAGGAAAGAAAATTGTGTGAAGAAGAAATGTCCTTTTTACTGGAAAATTCCTGCAAAAAAAAAAATGACTAACCAGAATCCTTTTCCTTGGACTGAGTCGAGGATCCCCCGGACTTGTCAAGTTCACTGGCAGTTTTTCCAGTGTTGGGTGTATTTTGATCTGGCGTAGACTCAGATAGTGAGCACCGCGGACTTTTAACTGGTACTGGTATTTTACTATGGACACTGTGAGGTCTACCACTATCACGTTCTTTATTGTCTTTTGATTCACGAAGAACAGTATTATTCGTCGTCAATGGTGTGGAATTTGTCACGGCTTTATTAACGGATGTATTGCTCGTGTTTACACGACTCTCTGTTGCATCGTAATATATCGATGACTCCTCGGGGGCGGGATTGGGACTGGCTGGACTCACTGTCGTACCATTCGTCAATTTTTCTATAAAAAAAAAAGTATGTAAATGTAATGAGAGAATGATCGATCGATAAATCGATAGAACGGGGATGGAACATCCGATAAAATTGAGATATTGATAAAAATTTATAGAAATGAAATCGTAATAATTATGATATCCACAAAATATTTGGCAATGACCTCGACTAAATATAAATTCACGTGTAATTATATAGAGTAACTCATGCCAGAAATAAGAAGGCCGAGTAGAATCCCTCGTTTTTTTTCCTCTCAGATTCACAAGAAAACATCTAGGAATAGAAGATAAATGGATTCCTGTCATATACGTTAAAATTGTCTCGTACTATGAATAGGTTCCTTGTCGGCAGTCGTTTGGACGACAGTAGCACCAGCAGTTGAGTCGACAACTCGTATCTCAAGTCGTCCAGCAACAGCCTCTTCCTCTTCCTCACCATTCATCGTAAATGACGATGTGAATGCCACTGCTGGAACACTGGCTCTTCTCGTTACTGCACTCTCTTTGGGCTCGTCGTGTCGCATTGCCACGTTCCACATCACATCGACTTCGTACAAGAGATCGTCGAACGCAGCTTGTTGTACCTGAATTTAATAAACTTGACTGATTAAATTTCCAGCAAAAAATATCCCATATTTCGTTAAATCTAAAATCGATACATTTTGAGATATTCAATTGATACGTGGGATTGGATTAATCGGATCGAGGACATGGGGAGAATGTCTGAATGAAGTAGATGAGGATTTCTCACCAAGGGTGCTTCAAGATGAGCTCGTACATGTGGCGCCAGCGCCGGTACGCTCCATGCACGTGGCAGTGCGCCCTGGAGATCCGGATACTTCTCGATGCCAGTGATATTGAGACATCTCCTGGGTGCCCCTGGTCGGGGTGAATCCTCACTTATTCTGGACAATACCGTCTGTATCGTACTGAGTGCTGCCTGCTGAGAGATATTCCCTGTTATAGATAATGCCTGACCCACAGGGGATCTAGCTTCGTGGGTGCCAGTGATGGAGCGACCAGTGGCCACCGTCTCATTATCAACTGTGGACTACTCAAAACCTTTTTATGCTGCAATTTTTTTTTTCCCCTCTACACATTCAACACCGATAGCAGCAAGTCGCGTTAAATAATATATCAAATAGAGTAATGGATTTACATGAGAGATTGATGCAACGAAAAATTATTATTTGCAGGTTGTTGTTGAGAAAGAAAGTATATTGAGTAACAGAAAATTTATCGTGCCTCTCGGCTGATTTGTATGCAGGCTGGATTTAAACTTAAAATATATTGATTTTCTTCGTAATATGCATTAGGAATAAAGTAAAAGCGGTGACAGGCAAAGCAGAGAAACGAAAAAATAGTAGGTTCGGCAGGGAATCGCAGTGCATCGTTGAGAGGAGTCAAGCGAGAGTACCCATACAGGCCAGACGTGGCTAGAATACCAAAATACGATTCTTTGATTATTTTTTTCAATGTCTTCACGTGCGTGTATGGCTGATGAAGTTGATGGAATTAAATGAGCCTTCACCCTCATTCCAATCGTGTTAGGGATCATAAGAAAACTAGATGAACCTCGAAGCCATGAAATGAAGAAAGTTTATACAATCCTTCACATTTGCCCCACTAATCTCATTTCCCTTAAGGATATCAAAGTACTTTCGCTATTTTTTCATTATTCAAATCCACTAGCTCATCAAGCCCGTAGTCTCAAGAAATTCGAAGCGATCCTAATGAAAAATTCGAAACAACGATTTAATGACGAAATTGTTTAATTGAGCCCTCCAGCATCTCTCCCCAGTTGATTAATGGTGGGTGGATACAAAGAAAAAAAATCCCATTCAACTTAAACCCCAAAAGGAATAATTGATCCGCAGAATCCCCGAGGCGCCCCGTACCAGCCTGTAAAAGGTACTTGGATATCCTCACCCCCAGAATTAATACACCCACCTCCCATTACGTGCATGCAATGCCCAAAAGTTTCGTCAAGTCTCACCTGAGGAACGATGGATGGTGGAGTCCCCTTGTGCTCCGGGCTCTGGAGATTCTCCCCCTTCCACTCATTATCAGTCTCCTCTGAGTCATCAAACTGTGACTTCCACTGCGAGGCAAGTGTGAGTCCTCCTCCTCCCCTGGTGACTTGCTGTAGAGCCGATACATTGTCATCGTCAATCTGAGCGAATTGCGTGATAGAGCAGTCCCTGACAGTTGATCGTCCAGCTCTGGGCTGAGCCCTCTGATCAGTTCGCCTCCTGGGCTCCCTCCTGAGTGGCTCTCGTTGCTCAGTAACAGGACTCTGATTTCCCTGTTTAGTATTCGTAACGTCATACGAACAGTAAGATGCATCGACCTCAGTCTGTATCCTGGGGCTGGGTGGCTCCCCAGAGTTGGTCTCGTGTGTTGGAACTACTCTTAATCTCGCAAATGTCGCGCCACTTGCGGATTTTCTCAGTGGTGTGGCAGCATTTGCCACGGTTTTTGATCTCGCCACTTCAGAAGTTGATCTTGCAGATGCCATGAGGGCATCACCCTCGTGATCCACTTGTTTCTCAACTGGTGGTACTGGTGACTGTGGCTCCACAGCCATCGACACAGCTCTGCGTTTCTTGGGTGAGCTCTGAGCTGGTGGCGTTGCAGCCACCTGTCCAGCTTGCTGATGAGTGTTATCAGTTATCTGTATGGTAGCATTGCAATTCTTGTCACGACCATGATTGCTTATGGCTGAGGTAAATGGCACTGGTGAGCCATCATTCCCCAGGAGTAATCTGCACAGACTCTCGATATCTATCTTGGCTTCCTTTCTGTTATCCGGCTCGACATTCTCCTGATTATTGGTATCGACATTTGGTGTCGTTGGTGGTTGGTTGATGGTTGTGGCTGTTGTGAGTGCTGGTGGAGCTGTAACGGTAGGTAGGGATCGAGTTGTGGGGAGCCCCTCATTTGCCACTGACGTTCTCTCCCAGTCGTAGGGATCATTCAACTTCACACCCCGACGTTTCATGCACCTCTCGAAGAGACCTGCCAGCATCGCGTAGTCAGGCTTGTCAGCGTACTGGAGATTCTGGATGTGCTCCAGGAAGAGGCGCAGGTCTGAGGGCAAGTGCTTCAGCAGAAGTCTGTGATCGTATTTCTCCTTGAGTATTCCCACCTGCTCCTTGTCCTTTATTTTTCTCCAGGGCAATTGCCCATTGACAAACTCTACTAGCATGTAGAATAGCGACCACAGATCGTCGTGCCTTCCCATCTCTTTGTTCCTGTGGGCATTCACTGAGGCATAACGCACTGTTCCACGAAAGCCTGCTGCTGCACGTGCTGGTCTGACTTCTCCAGTGCCTGTGGTAAACTGACGGGCAAGGCCAAAATCCAGCATGTAGACTACTCGACAGTTGTGCGGATGACGACCAATTGAAAAATTCGAGGGTTTAATGTCTCGGTGGAGGAAGCCCACTTGGTGGATACTCTCTATTGCTTTGAGAATCTGGAGACCGAGACGAAGTGTTGTGGAGAGGGAGAATGCACCGCGGGGCTGGGCACGTCGAAGCTCTGCGAGATTTTTACCCTGGAGCTGCATCACTACGTAATTGAATCTGTCATTCCGACCACAGCCTATGAATCTGCAGACGTGATCTTTACCTGGGGATTTTATTCCGTCGTTTATTCGATCTCGAAGGGACGATAGATGTGAATAATTGACTCGTCGCCTCCAGTGTACAGAATTCAAAAGGATAATCCATGATAATCTCATGATATTGCGGGAAATTTAATTAATTAAACGACAATGGGGATTGAAGATGAATTTTAGATGCAGAAGTTTGAAATTTTGTGGATCGAAGGGAAATCGAGTTGTCAATTGTAGATTAATTATTGAATCGTTACAATAGAGGCCATGAGTCGTATTTTCTGATAATGGAGTTTTACCCTGAAGTTTTTTGAGGACGGCAACTTCCATCTTGAGGACTTGCTTCGGCTGCCTGGCGGATTCGACTTTGAGGGCCACCTGCTCCTTCGTCAGCAGGTCCAGACCCTCGTAGATCTCTCCAAAGCCACCACCACCGATTTTCCTCATCTTTAGCAAGAATTAGAGATAATCAGATGATCAATCACTCTCATAAAAAATTCAGTTATTACCCTTCAATCCAATACATTCACAATTAAATTTCATTCAGCTCGGATTATTGATTAAATGCGCCACAAAAAACGGCCCGGAGTGAAATAAAATTGACGTGCAGTGAATTAATGAATTAAACTATTGAGATATTCAATTCAATTCGACTTTCCAAGTCCAAAAGAAGTGAATCGACTTGATGCCCCCAATTAATCCCTGAATGATCGAACAGATGATGATCTTGATTACTAGATCCTACTGCTGATTAAATCCCAAATACCCATCGATTCCAAAAAAAATCTGCGAATGAACTTACAACTTTCCACCTCTCCTTGACCACATGGCCGGGTTGCAACAAATCCTCGCTGGTCATTGTAATGTTGTTATTATGATCAGTACTCTCGTCACCTACATTCCTCAGCACCAACTTGCCCGGATGATTGGGATGCCTGACAACAGAAAATCCCCAAATAACAAAAAAAAAAAAATCACCCCTCAAGCTGCCATGACAGTTCTCAGGTGGCGAGTGATAGGGGGTTGTCCAGAAATAAACCTCCTCTCATGCACTTTAACCGGCGATCATCCCAACAATGATTACCCAATCAATACCCCCCGGACGAGGAAAACGCCCCAGAATCATGAGCCATCGGTAACCTAGAGGACCCCCTTCCCCCGAGGACCTACCCACCCCCAGAAAAACCCGTCAAAAATTGAGGTGAAGGAAAAAAAAAAGTCAGTAGCTCGGTCCATTTTAGGCAGCCATGATTGCGTGTGGCTAAAGGGTGCAGTCGTATCACAGGAGGGGAGGGTTGCAGAAGACATCTACATCTACAACTACACAACACCCCCGCACCGATTACTCGATTATCCAATTCCCCAAAATTACCCGAATAAATCAATAAATCAATCAATCACCCAATAACCACCCCTCATTTAACCTGTCATCTCCACCGAATTCACTGCCTCGATAAACCCAAAACGAAAAAAGAAGAAAAAAAGAAAAACAGCGAACCGACTTTCTTCCCCACGCAATCGTCGATCCAAATATAATGACATTTTATTTTTACTGACGTCGTCGGTCGGTCTTCCCGATTATATCCACTGGTGTATCCCTCTGATCACTCACATCGACGACCAAGACACCCTGATAATGAGTCAGACAAATTATTTCTCACAAGTCATTAGTGACAAATGAAATCTTACGGTTTTTATTATTTACAGGCTCTGGTTTATCATTACTGTTGGGATATGTCCTCTTGTAGTTTTTTTTTATTATTGCGGATCGATCTGGTGAGTGTAGATTTGTGATGGGGTGGCGATTCGCGGTGATCGCGCGAGAACCGCACGAAACACCGTGAAAAACTAGTTGTACACCGTTGTAACGGCCATCTTCATTGGGCCTCTCACGCGATTTGTTGTGTCGTCGTGTGATGGCGGCACCCACGCGCCATTGCGACTCGCGCTTCACCCATCGATCCAATCGCCCCCTTCACCCCCTTCCTCCCACCGCCAGCCGCCCACCCACCGCCACCCACGAGACCTTGACTCTTCGAGTACTCGCGGACCTCGCGGATCTCGCGGATCTCGCGGACCTCGCGGACCTCACGGGCCTCGCGGCAATTTTCAAACTTTTTCTTTCACTTATTTATTTATTGCCATCAAATTTATGCATTGTTTATTAATTTAGCATGTATCATTTATTTTTTCGTATATTGATTTAATTTAATCATTCATATCTCGCGATTTACGATTTAAATTAAAATATTTCAGTTTTATTGGAAATTGAAGAAGATAATTAATCATTGAATGACAAAATCCTAATGAATTCCATTTATTATGAATACGTAATTGCAACAAATTCAATGTTTTTTAATGTAAAACTCCAAGAGGAATAATCTAAGTCCTACAAAAGATCTTTATTCTCACCACCACGTCCGCTAAACACTGGAGTTATCAAACCTCGCGAAGACGAGGTAAAATGGACTGCAGGGGAAGCTATTTCTGGACCATTATTTATATAAAAATCAATTTTCCATAGCATGAACTATCGTGCATCAGACGATGGCTCGTGATTGATGACATGATTTTTTTTTAAATATCAGTCGAATCGAGATCATCGCGAATGCTCTCCCTCACGCGATATTTCCAATTCTCTTTACAGATGTAAAAAAAAATTTATTCCTAACGAGCATTAAAAACAATTAATGACACTCATCACCGATTACCGAATTGTTTTAACAATCAATAATTGTCTTCCACAACTCAATTGCTGTAGTAGTGTGAGGTTTGCATTTTTAATTCGATCAGGAAGTTCATTAATATTCGAGTGGAAAAACTGGTGTTGTCGGTCTATTCTGAATCAGCAAGCAGGAAAATATCGGGTGTTTTTTTATATCGAGATCTGCGTGTAAAATTAGATGGGACTCGTATCTTTATTCAATCTTGTAACGTAATCTGAATTTTGCCAATCCACGGGGATAAATCGGAGTAATGAATCAGTTGTGAATGTACTAAACGCAAAAAATAGTACTAATGATCTCGGGTTAACGACGATATGAGGAAACTAGAGAAATGAAAGCTACATCATTTGCGGACGAGTGCAGTCGGGTACAAGGAGAGATTAAAAATAAAATCCCATTTATGATTTCTCTTTTATGTTTACTAATTACGTAGGAGGGGCACAGGAAATCTTTCATTTTGCCCCACCACCCAATCGTTATTTATGATAAAAAATATCTCGAGTACAGATATTCATCAGACACTCTCTTTATTCCGAGGAAAATTCCGCATGCCAACGAATTTTTCCCTGACCGTGAATTTTTTCTAGAACTGCACTCGATTTATTACAAACAATTCCTCTCTAAAAATGTCAGTACTAGAATTATAATTCCCAAAATCCCAATCAAATCGCTATTCATAAAAAATCATTGACAAAAATTGATTGACTCCTAAAAAAACGAAATAATTCGCCGTCACTTTACGCCCTTTTTCTCCGGAACAATTTATTAAATATTTCCAAACTCATCGACACTAGCCTGTCACAACCTTTGAGAATGGACCATTGAGATTATTGCTTAAATATTCTGTCTGATTAATTCTATTAAATTAATTTAATTGATGAACAGAAAATTAATTGACGTACCACTTCATGATTCCGCGGGAAGAACTTGTAAATTGAACGAAAAATTAACACAGAATTGGGGAAACCACTTGATTGGAATGGGTGGACTGATGGGATACTGGAATTAGTGGTAATGTCGAGTGGAGACTGACGAGAGGATGGAAAAGTGGTGTCGGTGGCCCGAACGGTTTAACAGTCAAAACGATAGTGACGTCCAGATATGTTTCCCCAACTATTTCCACTGGCTTACGTGCCACTTTGCTACTGAGTTTAACATTTTTATCCCGTAATGTGACGCATGGACTATTGTCACATTGCCCTTGAGCGATCACCAACAGTTTATTGGATTTTAATGGATCCAACTGCCTTCATTGCACCTCCAATTCTCAAATGCATCTTGGAAATATGTACGGTCGTCGCTCCCAGCCAAATTTAAATACTCCCACCTCTCTATCGAGATCTCAGGGCTCCTAACTATTTTCGATTATATCGAAGTTACGACGTCTTCGAGATTACGAGAAGAAATTACTATTCACAAGCCAAGAGGTAATTAACGAAACTAAGATAAATGCATTTTTTTTCGAGAATAGTTTTATAGCTGATTTCTCGGAATTGAAGACACATCGTGAATTTTTTGCATTAACATTTTTTATGGAAAATTATGAGAGCTTCAAAAATGGTATTCTTGAAAAATTCGGTATCTTCGCTCGATTTCGAGATATTGCCTGAAAACTGGAATGGAAAAAATTTCGGGGACGAGAACTGTTTGAGAAAATCGTGTGCCAGTTTGTTGAGGTGATTTTTCCGGGAAAATGAATTTTTAATGGCATCATAAAATTTATTGGTCAGTTAAACAATTTATGTTGGATTTTATTTTAACTGTTCATTATTATATTATTAGCGCAAGGAGATTTGGTAAAATACCGCGTTATTTGAAAATCTCGGTTTATCGCGTGGCAATAATGAGAATTAACGATGTCATTAATATATCATTAATAATAATAATTTCCAATTATTATTGAACGCAATTGTAATTAATTTTAAAGTTATGACAAAAGATTTTCCTCTGCGAGTTGACTGGCCCATTCTTTTGTATTAAATATCTAAATATAAACATTAACAAACTGCATGCTTTCTCCGAGCCGATTCCTCTCACAATTGCATCTGTCATCAGTCCCATATTTTCTCAGAAACCTTGCGATACGTACGTCGGTGTCATTACGGGGACAAAGTCATTTGAAGAAGGAAACGGACCAAATCTTGGAGAAGAGCCCAGAAAATCTGAAAGACGAGACGTCGGGGGAAAAAAAAACGGCAATTACTATTTCCTATTTTTCACATCATTCTCTAAAGCCTTTCGAGACACGTTTATGAGGCACTGAGATAATAATTTATTAAAATGGGTAAACCTATTGTTTGCGGGTAAAAACGATTGTTTTTATTCAACTACATTTAAAACAATAAATATTTTTAATATTCTAAGTACGCGACCATTTATTAATTTAATCTATTCATTAATTTCGCTTGTAGCGTCAATAAAATTCGTTTGTTAATTGACTGGATTTTTTTTTCTCGGGGACAATTAGTCGATTTAATTAAATTAGGTACTCAGGATTTTTTTGTAAATGGCTTTATCACTTCAACCCATTTCCCTGGGTCAGACTCTCCCTATTTTAAACCCATCTGGCCCAGTTAACTCCAACTGCTCTGGTGAACTCAGATTACCTCGTGAAATAAACTAGTGTATTTATACCTTTTGTTAATACCGAAAAATCTGAGGGTAAATAAATTCGCCAGAGAGTTGTTTCACTCGTCGATGATGAATGATTAAGTGGAGGTCATTCACCCGAGTCCAGTTCCCCGATCTCAGAAGATCGAGTTATAAAATTGAAGAATCAAAAAAATGATCAAGTATCGATTTTTGATTTATGAAAATTGGAAAACTGGAAATTTATTGTGGGATATTTTTTGTGAGCTGTTGTTTAATTAAAAATTATTTTCCTCGTGGTTTTTTCAGACGAATTAATGATCTTTCGTGCTAACTAGAATGCAGTCTCATTGCCAAAGCGAGTTATCGAACGGCTGATCTAAGGCATTCTAACAAACACTAAACCATTTCCTCAATTTATTTTTTCTTCAGCCAATTGTAACGCGATTTAACTCAATTCGGGGAACAGGCGGGTTTACGAATAGCAGAGCTTCTCCCAGAAATTATTTCTATCTTCACTAGAAAAGAAACTCGCCTTTTTAACAATCTACAGCTGTCTAGAAATTCCCTGGATCCTCATGAATTTAAGAGCATCCCCGCAATAATTAAATTCAATTAAACAGAAAAATCAATTCTTTCAAAATCCAAATACTCCATCATAAATGCAATTTTAATTAAAAATAACATAAAGATAATATCCATAAATTCTGCATTAACTTCAAAAAATGAATGATACTATAAATAAATAAATCGATGAATTAATTAATGAAATTTATTTATTGATTCTTAATTCGTGTAAAAATGAGAAGAATGCAGATAAATATTTATACGGTAATAAATTAACTCGTGATTATGAGCATTATGAATTCAAATCCATGTAGAAATTCCCGCGTAAAACTGGGACTTAAAATTATTTTATTGGTGACTGACTTCAGTCTGCACCTCAGGGGCGTTCCGGACACGATTCGTGTCGTGTCTGCTGTCAATTCGACAGCAATTTATTAAAATTTGACATTTACCCAGTAACAATTAAGGTGAGTTGCACATTTACCGAGTAATTCACTCCAAATAAATGAAATTTATTAAAAATTTTGGGACTAAATCGAGGACTTTGTGTTTATCCCTGGGATCGTCGGTTCCGAGGGACTTGACTCCATTTCTTGGGAGATTTTTCTACCTGGGGGAGAATTCCTTGAAGACGAGGCACCAGGAAGTGGTTTTAATTCGTATCTGAGGATTTGCTGGTGCCAGGACAGAGGAAGAGGGTGGAAAGGGATTCCTGGGGCGAGGGGAGGGCTCCGGGGTGGTTGAAGGGAACATTGATCCATCCCCGGTTGTCTATACATGTTGATCGGAGTCATTCCATATTCAGATGTTCTATTCTCCATAAATTAGAGCTCGAGCTGAATTAAATTGCCGACCATTTATGATCACTTAGTGAATGAGGGCAGAAGAATCGACGTTTATTAATATAGAGTAGTAAATCTGAATTTATATCGAGGTTTAATCAATTTTCTGACGATTTTCTAACGTTTATGTTTTCAGTATCGAAAATGTCAGATTCAAAGTACTTCACGACCACCAAGAAGGGGGAGATCTTTGAATTGAAGTCAGAATTGAATAATGACAAGAAAGAGAAGAAGAAGGAAGCAGTGAAGAAGGTAAATACTATGACTCCCTCTGACAACATATCGGTTATAAATTAAAATTGTTAATCCAATTCCAGGTGATTGCCTCGATGACAGTGGGGAAGGACGTGTCAGCCCTATTTCCAGACGTCGTCAATTGCATGCAGACCGACAACCTCGAGCTCAAGAAACTTGTTTATCTTTACCTGATGAACTACGCCAAGAGTCAGCCTGACATGGCGATAATGGCTGTCAACACATTCGTCAAGGTAATGCATTTTTTTTAAACCTCTGATCTTCCCTGAAATTAATAATTTACAATTAATTTTATCAAGTGCACATCTGCTATATTTGTACATAACGACACCAGTGTAATTTTATTTTACCGAGGAAGCTGCAGAGTCACTCATTCCATTGTTACTCCACACAATTAATGTGTGTAATTGTTCTTGAGGTATCGTTCATCACTCGATGTTCATTTATTTGGTGATTTACAGAGGAATAATATTCGTTGATTATCAATTTATAATTAATGGAAAAAATTATGATTAAAGGAAGAATACGCAATGCTTAATCGAGAAGTTAAAAACAAATTTAATGAAGAGTCACTGAATAATTTTCTCTCATCGCAGGAATTTTATGTTAAAAATTGGTGTACCGGTATTGCAGGTCAATGAATAATGTTTTTCTCTGTAATTTGTGGACTCTACAGTTCTGCCTCGTCCCCACGGACTGTGCTTTGCAAATAAATATTTGCACAGGGCTGTTCGTTGTTCAGTACGACTGTCTGATAATTTTCCAAGAGACGTATCGAGAGGCGAATCGCTTATTTTTCAAAGGGCACGAGACTGGAATTTGGTGGACGTCACGAACAATTTATTGAATGATAAATATATATCATTATTTGTCACTCCAAATTCCAGGATCATTGAATTACCGGGGCGATCCTAAAGAACGTTAATAACTACTTCAGTAAATTAAGTGTACGATTTTAATATATCTGTCTCGATTTTTTGCATCGATTGATAATCCATTGATCCAAGTGTCGGTGTAAATATGTTCTCAAATGCATGACGATTTACCAATCCCTCAGTTCATGGAAATGATCTAATAAATTAATAACTTCAATTTATCTCATTCTTTAATTTATTCTGAATCGTCGCATGTGCGTTGAATTCCGAAATATTTTATTAAACGTTTACTATATTTATTATATATCGACGTTTACTATATTTATGTGTCTATTGCATTGTAAATCGATGCCTGTATGCGCTAATGCCAATGCACGCAGAAAAATAATAATAATCCACGAATAAAAAATATTACCAAAGATTTCGACCTCTTTCTGAAAAAACTGAAAAACAATTTTCAATCCAAAAATTTAATCTCTCGTTGTTTATCGATGTTCAATAATCTCCAAATAAATCACCTAATTGACTCATCCTTTATTTAATAAAAATAATTCTGTATTGAAGTGGAAAACCACAGAAATCATTGAAAAATCTCCGCTTCACTGCAGAATTCCGACGAATAATTTCATCTGCACGTTCGACTCTAAAAATTAATAATATCACCATCAATATTTCCAAGCATTTTAATCTCTCCAACCATAACAGAACGAAATTTTGAATAAAAGCGATAACTCGTGCTCTTTGAAAAATGAACGACTCGCGTCACGATCGTTTATTCCCACATAAACTTAATGATAATGAATCAAAAGAAAAATGGTGAACGGTGACCAATTTCAACTTTTTCGTTCTGACACGCTAAAAAGGAGCTAGCCACATCTCCGATGACAAAGGTACCATAAATCTTTCTATCTCGTTACACAAAAAAGAATGAAAAACATTTTAAAAAGAAAAAAAATAAGAGTGGGTCGAACATGAAATAGTTAGTGATTGTCGTGAGTAGACTTGAATCCCTGGCTTGCACATTTTTGTTGCGTAGGACTGCGAGGATCCGAATCCCCTGATCCGTGCTCTTGCAGTGCGCACCATGGGCTGCATCAGGGTGGACAAAATCACAGAGTACCTGTGCGAACCCCTGAGGAAGTGCCTGAGAGACGAGGATCCGTATGTCAGAAAAACGGCAGCTGTTTGCGTTGCTAAACTGTATGATATCAATGCAGGGCTGGTCGAGGATCAGGGATTCTTGGATCAGCTCAAGGATCTGCTGTCTGATAGTAATCCCATGGTAATTCCTCAATTATTTCATAAATTATCATCCAAAATTGCAAGAATAATCTACAATTCAGCACTAAAATACTCTCGAATTTTATAAACCCGTTATTTTCTAACAATTGATCGTCCCCAGGTGGTGGCAAACGCAGTGGCCGCCCTCTCAGAAATAAACGAGTCGTCCCCGAGTGGTCAGCCCCTAGTGGAGATGAACGCCCAGACAATAAATAAACTGCTGACGGCTCTGAACGAGTGCACAGAGTGGGGTCAGGTATTCATTCTGGACTCTCTAGCCAATTACTCGCCGAAAGATGATCGCGAGGCCCAGAGCATCTGCGAGAGGATAACTCCTCGCTTGGCTCACGCCAACGCAGCAGTTGTGCTCTCAGCAGTAAAAGTCTTGATGAAATTAATGGAAATGCTGCAGTCAGAGTCTGATTTCGTGGGGACCCTCACGAAGAAGCTGGCACCACCCTTGGTGACGCTCCTGAGTTCTGAGCCCGAGGTGCAGTACGTTGCTCTCCGCAACATCAATCTCATCGTCCAGAAACGTCCAGACATTCTCAAACACGAAATGAAAGTCTTCTTCGTGAAGTACAACGATCCAATTTACGTTAAACTTGAGAAGCTGGACATAATGATTCGTTTGGCCTCGCAGGCGAATATTGCGCAGGTGTTGTCCGAGCTGAAGGAGTACGCCACCGAGGTGGACGTAGATTTCGTGAGAAAAGCAGTTCGAGCGATCGGTAGATGTGCTATCAAGGTAGAACCATCAGCCGAGCGATGTGTCTCGACACTTTTGGATTTGATTCAGACAAAAGTGAATTACGTCGTGCAGGAGGCGATAGTAGTGATCAAGGATATTTTCCGTAAGTATCCGAATAAATACGAGAGCATAATCTCGACCCTCTGCGAAAATCTCGATACCCTGGACGAGCCCGAGGCGAGAGCCTCGATGATTTGGATAATCGGTGAGTATGCAGAGAGAATTGACAATGCTGATGAGCTCCTCGAGAGCTTCCTCGAGGGCTTTCACGACGAGAATACCCAGGTGCAGTTGCAGCTGCTGACAGCAATTGTCAAGCTTTTCCTGAAACGACCAACGGATACTCAGGAGCTGGTGCAGCAGGTGCTGAGTCTAGCCACTCAGGACTCTGACAATCCTGACCTTAGGGATCGAGGGTTTATATATTGGAGGCTGTTGAGTACAGATCCCGCAGCTGCCAAGGAAGTAGTCCTGGCTGAGAAGCCCCTGATTTCAGAGGAGACAGATCTTTTGGAGCCAACTCTCCTGGACGAGTTGATCTGTCACATTTCGAGCCTGGCATCTGTCTACCACAAGCCCCCCACAGCTTTCGTGGAGGGGAGGTCAGCAGGTGCGAGGAAATCTCTACCAGCGAGGACTAACTCCAATGAGGATGCTCAAAGGACCTCTGCCCCTCAGGCCCAGGTGATTCCAGCACAGGATTCTCTCATTGGAGATCTTTTGAGTATGGACATTGGAGGTCCTCCAGCAGTAGCTGCCACCCCAGCTGCACCCACTGGCATGGGCCTAGACCTCCTCGGTGGAGGTCTCGACAGTATCCTCGGGGGAGGGGACACGGCAGCCCCCGCTGTCTCACAAACCACCACTGGATTGCTTGGTGACATCTTCGGATTCAACCAGGGCCCAGCCCCTTACGTGCCACCTAAAGTAAACTGGCTGCCAGCTGAGAAGGGCAAGGGCTTCGACATCTGGGGTACATTCAACAGGAAGAATGGACAGATTTCCATGGACATGACCTTCACCAACAAAGCAATGCAGAGTATGGGAGGATTCGCAATTCAATTGAATAAAAACAGCTTTGGCTTGACTCCAGCTACACCTTTGGCTGTTCCTGGACCGTTGGGACCTGGGGCAAGCATCGAAGTCTCTGTTATACTCTCCACTACTGGAGCTGTTCAAAGAATGGAACCCCTTAACAATCTTCAAGTGGCCATCAAGAACAATATCGATGTTTTCTATTTTGCCTGCGTCGTTCCCATGCACGTGTACTTCACTGAGGATGGACAGCTCGATAAAAGGGTCTTTCTCTCCACGTGGAAGGACATTCCTGCACAGAACGAGGTCCAGTACACCCTCAATGGCATCATGCTTACAGCTGATCAGGTCGTGCAGAAGATGCAGCAGAATAATGTCTTTACTATTGCTAAACGGAATGTCGAGGGACAGGACATGCTTTATCAGTCTCTCAAGCTTACGAATAATGTCTGGGTACTCAATGAGTTGAAGATCCATCCGGGAAATCCTGATGTTACTGTGAGTAGTTTTCTGGGGATTTAGAGGAATTTCAAGGTGATTATTTCAATTGATTTATGATGATTGCTTTTTTTTTGCAGCTCTCGTTGAAGTCTCGCACTGTGGACGTGGCTGCGGGTGTCTTTGCCTCCTACAACGCCATCCTTCATTCTTAAATTGATGGAGATGATTTGATTTGGGAGGAGTGACGATCGGGATGGGAGAAATGTTCAGGTCACTGACCTGGGGATATTCCAGTAGGATTAATGAAATTGTGTACTATATAAGGAATAAATCATTGATTAAGGATGAGACAAAATTAATTTCCCCTGTCCTGACTCCTGTACAGGGTAAAAAAAAATCAATGCGTGAATATAAAAGACAGAAAATCAAATAGAAACTAGTACACAATTTTTAATAGTGGGGAAAAGTGTAAATCATTTTGTGGGGATTATTAATTAGTTAATATTGTCGATAATTCAGAATTTCGTGATTCCAACAGATTTCGGAAGCTCCCCCTTTTGTGGATATTTCGAACTTTCCCGCCTTCCACCTTTCTTCCGTCTCAGGCAAACATGGCTGCACGGTCAATCTCAAAAAAGCGAAAGGTTTGTAAATTTTATAAAAATACAAGTCATGGAATTGCAAAAATATTGTATTGGGAAGAATCTGTGGATGTTTGTCTATAATATTGGGGAAAAACTGCGAGTTTATGTGGATTCCTCACTCCGGATGACGTGGATTACTGGGGACTGTCTAGTGCCCCCCAAACGTGCTCCAAAACCCTTCAAAAATCGCGAATTACAGATTTAATTATTGAGCTCTGAATTCTGGACGAAAACTAGTGCTTCTGGAGTTTCATACATCCATACCATTTTCTGGGGCAGTCCTCTGTGTTTCAATCAGTGATTTGTTTAGTCGAGTGTCTGAAATTCAAGGTTATGTTCACAAAACAAATGATTTTGATTATTTATGACTTGTCAGACTCGACAATAAATATTCCACTAGCCGCAGGAATTTATCGAACTCCTCACCAGTGAAAATTACGTTTTTTTTTTTACAGTTCGTAGGAGACGGAGTGTTCAGGGCTGAGCTGAACGAGTTCCTGACTCGTGAACTCGCCGAAGATGGTTACTCTGGTGTTGAGGTGCGTGTCACACCAACACGTACCGAGATCATCCTCTTGGCCACTCACACACAGAGTGTGCTTGGAGAGAAAGGACGGAGAATCCGTGAATTGACGTCTGTCGTCCAGAAGAGATTCAACTTCAAGGATCAAACCGTTGAATTGTACGCTGAGAAGGTGGCAACCAGGGGTCTGTGTGCCATTGCCCAGGCCGAGTCCCTCAGATACAAGTTGATCGGTGGTTTGGCTGTCAGAAGGTAATCCATCCAGAATTTTCTATTTTTGTTTTCTCAAAAAATTTTGTAATCACGAAATAATTCATCTCTTCATTAAATTTCAGAGCGTGTTACGGAGTCCTTCGATTTATAATGGAATCCGGAGCAAAGGGTTGTGAAGTCGTTGTCAGTGGAAAACTCCGAGGACAGAGAGCAAAGAGTATGAAATTCGTTGACGGCCTCATGATCCACTCTGGAGAGCCAACAGCTGACTACGTCGACACAGCAACTCGTCACGTCCTCCTCAGGCAAGGTGTCCTGGGGATCAAGGTAAAGATTATGCTGCCATGGGATCCGAATGGAAAGATTGGACCCAAGAAGCCCCTGCCTGACAATGTCAGTGTAGTTGAGCCGAAGGAGGAAGTACTCCCTCAGCAGCCATCCTCTGAGGTTAAGGCCGCCAAGGATGCTGCACAGGCAGCACCCATTCCTGCTTAATTCTACTGAACTCTTTACAATAAAAACATGAGAACGTGATCAAAGGGTTTTATTTTTCATTTTTCCTTTTACTCATAAGAAATCCTGACAACTTTTTCCCCCAAAAATTATTTAACTCCACATTAAAAGTAATAACAATTTTTATTAAGATTATTTTTTACATAATCAAAGGGTAATCAGCCCCTTCAAACAAACAGGAAAAATTACAATAAATTATATTTCTCAATTTATACTGAACAAACAAAATTAACTTCTTCGATAGCAAAAAAAAAATTAATTACTCAACCTGAACTCAAAATTAGAGATCCTGCCCGGGGCTGAGATCTCCTGTAACTCAGTTTCCGCGTTAAACCAGTAATTAAACCAGCAATTAAATCCTGGGGATTGCCCCCGAGGGCACATCGACTCCTCTCCTAAATACTGTAGGCGTAACTTCCCGTAATCACGATGTACTCGAGTGCGAACCCCACGTACGAGGTCGCATCGATTGCCCCCCCCTCTCCCTCCAGGGTGCGGCGAAAACGTCTGCCAATTATTTGCGTCCTCCAACTACCTCCAGGAGCAAAAGAAAAAAATCCTCCAATCAAGGTCACCCTCCTTTGCATTTTTAAGAGTTACGGATTTATCGGGGAGGAGATAAATTGAATTTCGTGGAGTCAATTTGGGTTTAATAGTCGACTTTTGTGTCGATGTCAGGCGCTTAATTAAAGCGAGATGTGATGCTGGAGGATGGGAGAGGCTGTCTGAGTGTCTGGGAAATGAGAACGGATTTTACTGTGCGGTGGAGCACACCTGTTTCATCCAGGTATGCCGGTTTGCCCTCCACTTGTTTCGTTGTAGTTTAAAAGACAAAAAAAAAACGGGATGAACACCATTTGAATTCCTGCGGAAATATTATAGTAGAGAATAAACTGATGTATCAAATATTATTTTAAAAATACACCAACCCAATTGCCAGAGATAAATAATTCAAACTTTATTAATCGTTAATTCACTCATTACGAATTCGAAAGATCGATTATCTGAATTTTTCTTAAATATCTTGTCACTACTTTTGAATTATCAGACTAAATAATTATAATGATACTTAAATAATTAGTCAATCAGGTAATTAAAAATTGATAGGGATATTTAGGGTATAATTAATATCGAATCGTAAATACAATGATCTTTGAAATTATCGTGAAATTGATTTTTCACTGACAATTCAATTGCATTTTGCAACAGAAATGTTGTAAAAGGGAATAAATGGATAGTGAAGAGCAATTGAATATAATCCCTCTGGAGGAATATGAAGAATGGAGTCTGGAGGAGATTTCGTGGTAAGGGTATCGAAGGGCACCTCGGTTACAAGGAAAGCCGCCTCAGCCAGACAATAGGACGCCATACGATCTCGTGCACCTCAGGATACCCTCTCCTTCCCCCTGGACAACCTGTCCCAGACCTTCTCCCCTTATTCCACCGACTCGTCGTTTTTCTCTTTCCCCGGTTTAAACGAACCGAGTGGCCGGCGTTACAACTTGCTCGGCGTGAATCCATAATTTACGGGTCACGTTTACGTGGGTATACACAGGCCCATGGATATATCCACCGGCGATGGGGTTTACTTTCCACTTGCCTCTACCTCCTCAACCTGCCATATAAGCTGAATCATGAGGTACAAATGTGGAAAAACCATCGTCAAGGATTTCCCTGCAATCGATCCGGATAAATCAGTGATTTTTGCAATTGAAAATATAAAAAAAAATAATCCATTCAGCATCTGCAATAAAATAACGCAATAAAATTTCGAGTTCAATTAATTAATTAGGATTTTACGGGAGGGTACAGCCTTATTATAAATTAATATCGACTGGGGAATAATATTTTGAATATATTTTTTAATTGTTAATAAATTATCAATTTTTACCGGAAGGTCCTCAGAAAAATGGAGAGGCGTTATCCCAGGCACTTCGGAGGGAACCCTGATAAATCATGGGCGATACCCTGGGGCCCCAGGTGTTCTCTTTTGATTCCCGCTGCACCCCTCATCGCGCGAGGATAAAACACATCTAACACTCACAACGGGGTATCCCGACGATCCCTCCTCGTCCCTCCACCAAGGATCGCGTTAAAAGCTACATTCCAATGGCCGTAACCAGTTCTGAATTGCTTTTAAAGATGGAGGAAGGGGACCCACCACCTCCTGGTGCCCCAACAAAAAGGGGGGGACATCAAAACACGCGAGGTGAATCGCACATAACAATAAACTCAACCAATTTGTTCCTCCGTTCTATTTAATTATTTTTTATTTGCCAAATCAACTGGAGATAGAGACGTGGAAACAGTCATCGTGGGCCTCACCTCCTAATCACAGTGACTCCATCATTAACCGGCCCAATTTCGGGGCCCACAGGGCAGACTATTTCACTTTCCAATGATTAATTCTTCGAGATCTTTAATGAGTTCTATCAATATCGGAAATAACTCCGAAACGCGGGGAGATGCGGTCATTTGCATCGGGGCCTTTTTTGCAGAGCTCATTGAGATCTATAAAAAAGGTCCTGATGAAGATTTCGGTGTCTCCCCGGATTTCAAAGATATTGACGTAAATGTAACTCGGGATCTCGGGATCTCGGGATCGCTCTCTGTTAATTCATGAGTTATAATCTTCCATAATGCGACATTAGGTGATAAAAATGACCGTAGCTGTCCCATCTACGATCACATCTGTCCCACTCTCACCAATTTCAATGAATCATCGTGATACTTAATTACCCCGGCAATTAAACTCGTCTGATACGTCTCATTTTATCACTGTTTATCCCGAGAGAATTAAACGTCGAAAAAACGGAGAAATCGCTGCATCATTGACACGACGGATTAATTATTCCTGCTAAATTTGTAATTTCGGATTAACTACGGATTGATTGCAACATATATGGATAATTAATTTTGCTTGATCGGTGGTGTATGATGAATAAAAATAATTTCTCCGCAATTTGCAGATGAATCACAGATGATCTCATAGAAGACGAGTTTTATATAGTGTTCCACATTTTGTGACATCACAGGAAATTGTTGGAAGAAATTGTTGGAATCTTGCATGAGGTAGGAAGGACACGGCTACTCGATAGAATTTTGTATTCACTGAAAAAAAAAATGAATAGTCCATTTATAAATTGTCTGGTTGCAAATGAAATTCAAGTCTGGACTTGAAGTATCTGGAGAGACGCGTGTAATATCCCCAGGTCGTCGGTCAGTCTCTCACCTCTGTTGTTTCTCCATCCTCTTCGGACAGCTGAATGTCCCCATGGGAATTTCGATCACCATCTCTGTCCGATAACTCGAAATCTCCCCAGGGACCACTCCCAGGTGCCCTCCTGTCTCCTCGGTCCACCTTCAGGTCATTTCTACCGCGTCGCAACGCCCAGAAAACGAGATCTTTTCATCTTTCCTGGACGAAAAAAAAAGTGAAACAAAAAGATAAAAGAAATGAGGAAGGAAGGACTCCTGACCGCAGGTCTTTCTCTCGATAGCGAATTGGCAACAATGTTCTTAAATTGAAACTTGTGGCTTCGTGGAAGGAAACGCTTTAAAAAAATATTCCAATTGATCAGCCAAGTTTTACGAGGCTTTTACCATTATCTCGGATAAAAGATGGCTCTCGCAGAAATCTGGTGAATACCTCAGGAGGTGGAGGTCAACGGGGGATGGAGATCACTGGACCGTCCAGGGTAAATTTCCGATTGCAGAATGAATTCCACTGAGAAAAACGGCAAAACGAAGATATCGACTTACGGGTTTTCCCAAGGGTCTAAAAAAATCGTGAATAGCAGTTGAAAAAAAACTTCCAGGACATGTGCCAAAACAGATAAAAAATCAGATGGATAAAAAATTTTCCTGGGGTGAAAAATGATGGGGTAAAAAAAACCTGACCCCGTCAGGTGCATTACTGATATTTCCATGCAATTTATTTAGTTCTTTTTTTTTTCGAGCCGAGAAAATTGGAGGAATTCGAAAAGAATGGCTCAGCCTATGGCCTCCACTCTCGACTCGAACTCCTCTGATATCGCACCCGCTCCTCTCCTCTGCCGTTAGACTGAGACAGGCTCCAACGGGCAAGTGGCAAGTGCCAGTTGCTCACCAGCACTTGCCACGGCTGGACACGGCTCTTTCAGGTCCATTCGGGTCCATCCAGACGCATATCGACCGATCAACGCGTTCCTGAATAATAAATATTGAAAATAACCGAGAAATGATGTGAATGAGTGCTTGGGGCATTATTCGCCTTCCTCTGGACCAGGAATAATACTCCACCCGCGGGAGGACGTGGGGAATCGGTTGGTGAGGGTGGAAAATGGTGCCAAGTGCGGAGAATCGAGAGCAAGTGTCGGAAAAGTGAATTTTTTATTCCGGAATTTTTCCTATTTTTGGCTTTCTCTTCGTAAATTCTGGATTGACGATGTGGACTGCGTCCAGGATGCTCCTGGGAGTCGTTGTCCTGGCGGCTGCTCTCGGGGAATATCACGTGGAGGGAAATACCACTGTTGCTATTGCTAAAGTAAGTTTTGATTGAAATTATTCCGGAATTAATGTTTCGGGTAATTTTGAGGGAAAAGTTCTCTGTGGAGTTATTTTTTTAAGCTGAGAAAAATTATTTTCCCCAAATGAATTAACTTCACCTCTTCACTGGAGTAATTGACCCGCGATAAGGATTGAATTGTTTAGATTTTTATTTATTTATCTCAAGGAAATCTACTTCGCAAATTTTTTTTCCCTCTGTATTTGCGAAGTCGTATTTATTTCTTTCGGATTAACCGACTTGTAATTGCTGGAGTGATAAGAGAGCAATTGAAAAATATTTCCCCGAGATGAATTATGGATTGAAGTCATTTAGTCATTACCACAACTCGTCAAATAAATTCGTAATCGTAATTATTTATTCACTGAAAATCACTCACTGAAAATCAATCATGATTTTTAACCGCGATGTTTATAATATATATTATATACTCAGTACCTGAACGATTTCATCAGCGGAGTAATAAATTCGTTAGAGTTTGAAGAAAATCCCCCGATGTGTAACAACATTCGACCTTGCGGGGATTTACCACCCATAATAAATCAATGGGCGGGTGATTACGGGTTTTAAATAACAGGAGAATATTCCCCTGTACTGCATAATAGTGCGTTTGTCTCTGGAAATCGGAGGCTGAGATAAACCGCACGCGTGCCATTTTGTTACTTGTTTTGTCTTTATTTTTATTTTTTATGAGCGACTCGAGTTGGGGAAATTAATCGTCACACGCGAGACAACAGATTTATTAGTCAATGAAGTGACATGAACATGCATCGTGGAGAAATCAAAAGGGGAAGGCTCTGAGGTAGTGATGGCCCCATTCTTATCTCAATTGGCTGGGGTGCAAGAAAAATCCATTGAAATTCAACCTGCAGGAATAATTATTGATTGCGATTTGAAATAATTATTGATTGCGATTTGAAACCCAAAAAAAAAACATTAAAAATTCATTATCCACAAAGGGAAGTCATTAAAATCAGTCAATTAATATGATGAGTATTTTTGGATTAGTATAAAGGATTATTATATTTATTATTTACCGCATTATCAATCTGTAATTAAATTGTTGATGGAAAAATTCTTGGGATTTCGGGATTTTTGGAATCAATAATTTTGCAATTGAATTGATATCTCAAAAAAAAATGAGAGATTCAACAACTTCGCTGTTGATTTAGAGTTGCAATGATTTCCTGATGAGAATAACATCGAGTCTCTCATTAGTTAATTAAGAATGTGGGAATGAATGGCGCCTGGAGACGCGGAAATGAGAGGCGAATGGAAAATGAGAATGAAAAATAAATCGAAAATTGGATGAGGGAAATTGTGTCAATTGGGCCTTGCATATTCATCGCAGTGGATGAACACTCGAGCGTGTTCTGAAATAAAAATGAACAAGGAATTACGGATTATGAATTACGGACAGCTACTATGTGCGGTGCATCGAGCTATTTTAATATTCGAGGATTTTAGTACTTGTTCACCAGCTCCTTACTCACCTCCATGAGCCCATCTGCAAATAAACGAGATAAAAGTGGAATTAAAAGATGAATTTTCATGGATCGAGGGAAGACTTGAGAAAAAAATTTTACCCAAGAATATTTACGAACCACAAAAAAATATATTTGGTATATTTTAAATAAATAATATATAATAAATAAATATTTTAAATAAACGAGATAAAAGTGGAATTAAAAGATGAATTTTCATGGATCGAGGGAAGAACTGAGAAAAAAATTTTACCCAAGAATATTTACGAACCACAAAAAAATATATTTGGTATATTTTAAATAAATAATATATAATAAATAAATATTTTAAATAAACGAGATAAAAGTGGAATTAAAAGATGAATTTTCATGGATCGAGGGAAGAACTGAGAAAAAAATTTTACCCAAGAATATTTACGAACTACAAAAAAATATATTTGGTATATTTTATTATTTTTTAGTTTTAGTATATTTTATAATATATATTTTTAATATATACATTTATACATTAAAAATATAAGTGACTCTTATGGGAGTATTTACACAGTGATCGCCAGATATACTGATGGAAATAAAATATTCTTCGCAAAAATAATTTTTTTTCTCCCTGCACTCTCCTCACACTTCTCTCATTACGAATTACGAACAACAATTCCTTAAACTATTGTTTATTAGATATTGTTTATTTAGAAATCACTCTAATAAAGAAGAAAATTTGGGAAATTTCATTGATCAACTTCAATAAATAATAACTTGATATAAATAAATTGATTTATCAATTCCTGAGATATTAGGGTATTTAGTGGACTTCAATTAAAAATAAAGTACGTGGGGAACGAAAATAATTAATCGAAATGTGAAAAAATAGATGATCATCAATATCAATGTCCTACATAACACCTCGATATAATCTCCGATGCCAATCGCATCGCGCGTGTAGAACAAAAATATCGACTAGACGATTATTTACGCAGATCGTAATATCTCGATGACGATTTATTGTTATGACATATGCGTTCAGTGCACAGACGCGCAATTACGAGTGCATTGAAATCCCCAGGTACCGTGTACATAATACGTGATCGATGTACCAAGGAAGTGACACAAAGTCGCCACTATCCGTGTTATAATTATCGATCCGATAGATCGATCACTCGGGCGCCACTTATTAGAAGACGAGAAAAAATCATTAAAATCATTGGCGCCTCGTCTGCGTCATTCCAATAATTTTCATATCTTACGAATTCGTCGATTCAATCACTCGTCATTTTGTCATAATAATCCATCGACGGTATTTATAATTAATCCGAAATTATGGAGATCGAATTGAAATCTTAAATGAGTGATTCGAAAATTTATTCAATGGATCGGAAATTTTTAAACACTTTCAGGAAAATTGGGAGTGGTTTAATGAGTTGTTCGATTAGATGGGATTTTAATAAAATTTCGAATGGAAATTTGTGGATTCTGGATGATAATTAATATCTAATTGGCCCTGAAATTGTTATTCGCTTATCGGTTGGGCTGACGCGCAAGTATTTTCCCTGGAGCAAAATCCTCTGAAATTCCCGGAAACTCGTCTTGCTGGTGTTTCCATCATCGATATTCTCAGTGACCAATCGATTAATCACCAGTGCCTCAACGTTATCGAATAAATTGTTATTCTGTTTATTGTCCGTACTCTGATTGTTAAAGTGGAGCAGTCGAAGAAGTGCTTTCAGAGGCGCGATAACGGGGTATCGATACTCGAAAAAAAAAAGTTAGGAATTTGCTTCAGTGTCAGACGGGTATACACTGACAGAATTAACCGGAATACATTCCCAAATTTGCCCATTGCGATTTCAAAAAACGATCACTTAAAAAAAAAGAGAAATCGAGATTATATATTTTTTATTATTGATTTATCTCGAGACCTATCGACTTCACGTGGAAATGTCAAAGGACTTTTTTACAGTTGACTAAATTTCGAACGAAAAATGTTTTCTGACATTTTTTCGTAGGATCAATAATTTCCGCGTGAAATCGATTGTTTAAATTAAAAAATCGGCATAGGGGAATGGAGACTGCACGCGTAAATTTCCCCGGCGATTTTTTTACGATCGGTGCAATAAAATATGAGAAATAAAATGAAAAATGGAGATTAAAAATAGAAATGGGAAATTGGATGGATGACCCCATATGGATTCAGCGGACAAATTCGTTAGCGAGGGGCTGAAATACATTCGCCGATACTTCAAGATATGTAATTACGTGACGAAACCCGGGTACAACAGGGGAACCTGTTGGACCACAGACAGTTTCTTCACCTCGGCATGTCTGGATTGTGTCTGTGTACAGATACACGAGAGTTGATAATTTTCCTTGCAGTAAGAAAGTACAACTTGAAAAAAATTGACAATAAAAATCCCTCGACTACCGATTTTTCGACATTTCTATTAAATCCGATCTAAGCCCTAACGCACCACCCATTAAAAACCCCGATTAACTACCTCTGATTAATCCCAATTACTAAAATTACCACGAACTAAACGATTGATTAAAATTAAATGAATTTATTACCGATTCGAGGGATAAAACGAGCTCTATTCGAGGTTCCATTACTCTGAGTAATAAATCGAGAAATTAGCCGATTATTTAACGGAATGTCACCAATTGATAGGAAGGTAATTAATTGAGGGGGAATTCAGGGGGTGAGGGGTTTTTGTCGCACGATCGAGAGGGAAAATCGCCGATTTTTTAGGGGATGATCTCATGAATTTTTTTAAAATAGCGGAATAATCTGGGAGCGACGATTTTTATTGTGGAAAACTATTTTTACTATTTTTGCTAGACTATCCACGCGGTTTTGCCGATACGTGAGGCTCTGCTGTCACTTTGTTGCCCAGACGTATTAATTCCCAAGGACACAAGTTGCCAATTGGCACGGTGCATTAGGCGACGAGAAATCGATTTCACGATCGAGCAAACACCACGGGATTCCGCTATTTTTTCGAGTTGAAAATCCAACGTAGAGATTGAACAGGTGAAGAGTGAATCGATATAGAATAATATTGATAACTCAATAACATGTGTCTTCAATTGTCCATGAAAGTGCGGTCATTTCCCTGGCCACTTCATGGCCTCGTAAACGTCAGGCTGGATTACCAGGGAGTTTCAACAAGTACCTTCTGTATTCCCCGGAGCGTGCCACTCTCTTCAACAATTTTTATCCATTTCAACTCAATCGTTTCAATTTCAAAAACCCACATCAATTGTAAATATTCATTTATCTCGAGAACTGGTGATTTTGTAAGGATATGTCAAAAGACCTTTCTTGTTGGGAATTTAATCGCCCAAAAAAAAGTCCTATGCCACTTTCTCGTGAAATCGACAGGTTTTCAGATAAATTAATTCAAAAAATGATAAACTCCACTCCTCCCAATCAACCACTCCTACTGAATCTCCCTAGTCTCCAACGAATATCTCAGAATCTAAGCGTGATATCAAAATTTTTGATAAGACCGTTCTTGAAGAGCCCATTGAGATCTGAAAAAAATGTTACTACAAAAAACATCGATATCACCCTCGTAAACGGCGATATCGATCGAAAACTGAAATCGATGGATTTAAATCGTTCTACCACTGCTATTCGTTATCACCGCCGTTATCAATTACCTCTGGGGGAACATGAATTTACCACAACTTGTAAACTGAAAACTCGAAGCCTGGATTAATATCGTGGATTAATTTTTTTTAAACAACAACGATGGCTTGTGCTACAGCATTGACCTCCGACTGGCGCGTAATTCCCGGCTGAGAATAGAACCGGGTCCATTCATCAGTGCCTTGCAAAAATGTGGTTAACATTTCCACGGATTTTATTCCGGTGATATGTTGTTTCAGGAGGAATGTCGGAAGAGAATAGCTGATTGTTCCATGTCGAAAGGTGCCAGCACCCCAGTATGTGGCAGTGATGGGGTGACATATCCATCTCAGTGCCAAGTCGTCTCCAGACAATGCCAGGGGGAGTCAATCCTCATTAAACACACGGGCCCCTGTCCAGGTAATTCAATTTAACGACGCCAAACAGCCCTTCCCAAATTAATTAAGAATTATCAAAAAATTATTAATCAAAAACCGAATTATTCAATTATCCAGAATTCACCGGTGAAATCACTAGATTTCATTTTGATTTCCATCGAATTCATCATCTCCCAATTTCGTCAAAAAATTCCCATCAAAATTGAAATTACCTCATAATATAATAATAATAATAATTTATATAATAATTAAATGCCCAGTATCAGTGGAATTCAGTAAAAAAAAATATTAAAATGTCTCGATCTTGTGAAATACCGATTAATCTCGAAAAGTATTGATTTCAAGAGAAAATATAAAGAAACCTTTTTTACGGGGAATTGAATTATCGACAAAAAAGTCCTTCACCGTTTTAGCGGGAAATCCGTGGTTTTTGAACTGAAAGGCTGGAGAAAATCTTTCAATTGCAGTTTTGGTTTTTTTTTAAGTGAAATTGTGAGGATAAAATGACGTTTGATTGTCAAAAAATTGCAGAGACACCTCCGTGCTTCTCGGCCAGGGTGACAGCTCGTCCTGGTTCTCGTCCTGTCTGTCGTCCAGACGGCACTTGGGCCCCAATCCAGTGTCACACGGAAACTGGCTACTGCTGGTGCGTGACACCTCAGGGACGTCCACTTTCGGACACCTCCGTCAAGAACGAAAAGCCCAGGTGCCCCAAGGCAACGGCCACCTCGGGCACAGCCTCCACACGCAGTGGCCAACGAAGACGATCACCAAACTGGAAACAGCGCCGACAATACACAAGTCGTCACAGGAATACGTGCGACAGAGCGGAAAAATCAACATTCAACACAAATCTAATCGGCAATTTCAAGATCGAGTACCGAAGGACCAACATCTCCTCCGACGGTACATAAATACCGCCAATTACTTTTTCATTCTCTCACGTTTAATTACCCTGAACTACCCTGCATGCGCCATGAGTAAAATTTCGCTGTTTAAATAAAAAAAAAAAATCAGCAAGAATGAATGGACTAGAAAAGTAGAATAAAATCAGAACTAAAATTGCACGTAAATGGAAAGTTATCGGAATATCAAATGCCTCCAATTACCTAGACCCGATTATGAATTTATTCAATGCACTGGCCTGTGAGTTATTTAACGACGAAATAATCCTTGGAAACTGAAAAAAAAAAAAATCTGTCGTGAGACTTATTAATAGATCCTGAATGAAGTCGCAGGAGCACTCACGGGCATAATATCATGAAGGAAAGGATAATGAAAGGTGGTAATGGTGGTGATAATAAAAAGAGAACGACTGGATATAATAATACGAAAGAGGGATACGTACTTGGGTAATTGCGGGTTGTCGTGGACGTAATGAAAGTGATAATTGCCAGGGCAAGTTGCATCTGATTATACTGGTATGTCTGGAGGTATTCGAGTAACGCACTTGGGGGCCTTTTTAGCTTTTTCGTTTGGATACACTTGTGGTTTAATTTATGCACCAGAGACACTTGCCAGTTGCATTCCACGGGTCCATGGGCCCGTTGAGGTTCGCGGTTAATTGAGGAATTGAAGTACTCTGTACATTCTGTGATTTCAATCATAAATTTCAATTGCACAATCATTTTTTTTATTTAATTGATGATCCAAATGTAGATCAAATTGTCAAAATGTTATTTACATGAACTTGATGTTTATCTCGAAATCTAGCAACTTTATGAAAAAATATCATAAAATATTTTCTATCAGAAATTTAATTAGCTGGAGAAAAGTCCTTCACCATTTCTCCATTAAAGCGATAATTTTCGAGATAATCCAGGTGTGAGGTACGAGTGAAAGATATGAATTTCATCGGTGGAAAAAAATCGTTTTAGTCATCGGAATGTCTTGAACAGGTGATAAGAACGTGGAGCGCGTCTTATCCTGGAAATTTCTCACCCTGGATAAAGACGGTGATGGGTACCTGGACAGGAACGAGTACAAAGAGCTCCGGAGGCTAGCCAAGAAGGCGGTGCGACCGAAGAAATGCGCGAGAACGTTCGCCAGGACGTGCGATCTCAATCAGGATCTCAAATTATCGAGGCAAGAATGGGGTGCCTGTCTGGCAAACGACTTCAAACGTAAGTCTCACACATTATCCACCTATTTTCATCGTTGTCTCTAACACGAGGTGAATGTGACTGTTGGGTTTTTATTTGTTTAAATCTTCTCTTAACAAATGATCTCACCACCTCTGTCCCCTGGTCACCCGTTACCCTCAAGTCACCGGATTCGAATCTTCCAATTCTCACGTCTGCCCCCCAAAGAATTCAAACCGATTGAGACATTCAGCCCGATTAACTCCATGAGTCAGGAAAGTGGTTTACACTCGTAAAAGGCAGGATGTTGTTTAGAGAAACTTGAGTTGATGTCCTGCCCCGGAAGTTTATTGCCCACACGCATTTTAAACGTGTGTAACGAAGAAATTGAAGCCAATTGAGTGTGAAGCGAGAGGACAGACGGCCTCCGTACACGAGGAATTGTTCAATATTAATAATGCATTCGTAAATCTTCGTCTGCCCACGTATGTCGGACTGTGCTACCCTAGAATTACGGATACGCAAATTGTTCAGGCCGTTTTTACCCACCTCCAGAGACATTCAGGAAGAGAAAGATCGGTTTGAGAATCGGAAGTGGAGAATTTCTGGTTGTTTAGCGATTTCGAAATTGATTTTTCAAAATTTTCGTGGAAATTTCATTCACCTCATCAAATATAATTACATTATACGCTATTATATTATATTAAATTATATTTCTCCTGAAATTTTCTATAATTTAATAACTAATAGAAATTTTCCATAAGTTAATAAATTGATTTTTCGCATACAATCAATTAAAAAAAAAAACGTGAATTTACGAATGAATGAATGAATGTCCTGACCGATTGGAGTTGGTCTGTCGGCCACTGTTGACGTACACAAGCCTTGTTATCATTTAGTACATTTGTTCTTGTCGCTGAATGGTGCAGACGGACCCCGTGAGGTACTTGAGGCCCAGAAGACGAGGGCCACGGACGAAGGTGAGTCCATATGCCCCCCAGGTCGACATTGAGTGCATGTCACCAACGAATTATCGGTTTTTACTCGCTCCACTCCTCATTTTCAATGATTCCCCATCCCAAGATCAATTGATCGTTTCAGTGGCTTCAGTAGTTCGGCTTTTCTAACAATCTTCAAAATGTAGTTCTGCCTTTCTACATGTCGCTTACGAATTGTTATTAACAAAATCGTGATAATGCAGTGGATTAGTTATAATTACGATTTTTATGCAGTTTTGAAGGGGAATCCCCCGCCGGTTCACACACGACCGACATTCAATGATGATCCACCGGATACCAAGGAGGAGAGCGATGGTAAATTATTAAAACTTGTCGATTGAAATAGTGAGCTTTCTGTCGAAGTAATCCTGGATTCTGGACTTTAGCCAATGACTGCATCTCGGATCGACGATCCGTGCTGGAGGATCAAAGGCAAAACTCCCAGGAGAAATTTTACATTCCCCAGTGCACACCGGACGGTCGATACCACAAGGTCCAGTGCTACTCCGGTTATTGCTGGTGTGTTTATCAGGACACCGGAAAACCGATCCCAGGCACATCCTCCAAGGATCAGACGCCCAATTGTAATCCAGTCCCACCACCAAGCAGACCGATGAAAGGTACTGAAATTGTAATTATATCGCTCCAGTAATTCGACATTCCTCCCTCACCAGGAGTTTCCGAAAAATTCCTGAGGAATTCTTAAATAAATTGCGACTTTTGTCTGGCTGATTTTAGGCTGTCCGGAGGTAAAGAAACAGTTGTTCCTCCGCGACCTGATGGACCTGATGGACAAGCGGATGAAGTCCTCGAGTACAGACTCTGCCGAGGCAACCGACAAGTGGCCAGCCTCCAAGGAGGAGCGAGTGGCGACCTGGCACTTTGTCATGCTAGATAAGAACAAGAATAAAGTACTGGAGAGAAAGGAGTGGAAGAGCTTTCGGACTATGGTGGCCAACAACAGGCATCTGAGGAGGTGTGGGAAAAAGCTCCCGAGGTACTGTGACATCAACAACGACAGGAGGATCAGTATGACTGAGTGGCTGAGCTGTTTGAATGCACAGAAACCTTCTCAAGGTGAAATAAATATTTTTAAACAATTATCCATTAACCGGTGGTTGATTACACTCGTATTTGCCCCGTAGGCAATAAAACGGGGGAATAATGTGGTATTTTTATAAATTATTACAGGTGACAGCGTAGAAAATACATCGACCCAAAAACCCCGGAGAACGGGTCCGAATCCTCTGGACCAATTCCTCAACGACGACGACTGAGTCGACTGTGGTAGAGCACAAATCAAGACTTGATTGGTATCGATGGAAATTCATTTCCCTTCACTCTCCTTTTTTTACGCAGTGATAGAAATTAGTGTACTCGATAAATTAAAACGTAACGACACTTATAAGTATTACGACCGGAATTATGTATTTATGTTGAATATGTATATGTATTTTTGCATGAAAAATGGTGCTCGAGCACTGAATCATTTTGTTTTTTTTTACGTGCTAGGATTATGTCTCTGTACTAAATTGAGCTTCAAAGTGGTAAGTCCCATTTCCAATTATAGAATTCCCCAGTCCATAAATCCTCGATAATGAGCCGAAAAAAAAAGATTATCTAGAGCAGTAACAAAGTGTTGATGTGTCTATAAAACTTGTAATTATCAATTAAGAATTAATAATCAAAACTGAAGACAATGTGCAGTTTATCAGGAGTGCAATAAATTTCCTTTACGCTATGAAACTGTCGAGAAATGAATTGTCAGTCGTTGTAATGCCAATGATAATTACACGATTGGTTTGAGCATTCATCTGTAGAAAAATGATCTATTTGTTGGTAGTAAAAAAAAAGTGTATACATTAATTGAATGAAATACAAGTACAGGCTCGCGCATTGGTAACACAAATCGCAACTCGATTCGCAGGTTAATGAGTAAGCTGGCAGTCCTTCGAGTTTACTCATTGCGTCCATAATTAATCACCTAATCAATCAATTTTTCATCGATTGATAATTTATTAATTCCCTAACATTTTTATACTCAACATTACCACGAGAAGTAAATATTACCAGAATGATTATTCGTGGAGAGCAATCACAACCCAATATTAAATAATTAATATTAATTTTCCTTATCAGTACAAAAATATAATTACAAGGCTTCGAATCAATTAATTAATTTGCAGTCAGTTAACGTGGTTATTATCTGAAGATGATCGAAAGTAATCGACAAAAAGAATCTCCGAAGTAACGGTGAAAACCACAGATGAGTTTTGAGCTTTATAATAATCTAGAACACGCGATCCTGATATCCACTGTCAGCCATACTAGTGCTGGGCTTGGCAGGACCACCAGGTACAGCTTGATGGACATGTCGCATGTGCTGAGACCTCCTAGGTGGTGCCAGGTACTCGAACATACTCTGAGAGTGCTGTGCCAACATTTTGCTGAGATCGCAGGGCATGGGATCAGTCCAGAAAAAATCGTGATTCAGAGCCGAATCAGAATCGTACCTCTTGCTGGGATCCAGGATGAGGAGTTTGTCCAGGAGATCGCAGGCATATGCGTCCTTCACGTAGGGCTTCAACCTCTCCTTCACTTTGCGTTTCTGTCCCTTGGGGAGATCCATCTTATTGAATAAATCCAAATTCTGCACTCCCGGCCAAACTTCTGTTGTTATCGATCCACAGAGTTGCGAGATCAGTGTCAACTGCTGCTGCTCTGTATTCCCCTGCATTATTGGGGATCTTGTCCACATTTCTGCCATAATACATCCAGCCCCCCATAAATCCACTGGAGGGCCATAATTCCTATCACCTAACAACAATTCTGGGGGCCTGTACCATAAAGTAACAACTCTGTTGGTATATCTGTTGGCTTGGCCATTTTTACTGGCACTGAAAGCCCTCGCAAGGCCGAAATCAGCGAGCTTGAGAATTCCATTCTTCGTTATGAGAACATTCGCTGCTTTCATATCCCTGTGAAGAATTTTGTTGCTGTGAATGCAGTAGAGTCCGTTCAGCAATTGTTGCATAACTTTTTTAATCTCCCCCAGACTGAATTTGACGTTGACATTAGAGAGCAATCCAGCGAGATCGTGCTCGCAGAACTCAAAGACCAGATAGAATGTGGAACGATAACGATTGTACTGTGTTGCTTTGGTTCTACAGATCTCAATGAGATTGACGACATTCTCGTGCTTCAACAGCTGGAGAATCCTGATCTCCCTCAAGGCAGTGATTGGAAACTGAAAATAAGTGGATCATTACTGATCTTACTTTAAATTCTTTCCTTCCTCGTTTTTTTTCTCCTTTAATTCGTAACAGAAAAAAAAATACACACCCCTTCCTTTTCGTTGTCCATGAGAACCTTCTTCATAGCTACGAATTTCTTGGAATTCTTTTTGTCCCGGGCCTTGAACACCTCTCTGCAATGAATTCCAAACGAGTCTCAATTTTTTTTTCATCACTGGAGTCATCTGACTGGACTTGACTGATTTTAATGAATTAATTATTGAAAATTCATTGGAAATAACCTAAAAGTCCGCAAGGTTTGACTCACCCAAAAGTACCCTGTCCGATTTTCGCAACTTTCTCGTATTTTGTGGACTCATCGCAGAAAGGAAAATCAAATTCTTCGATATATTTTTCCTTTTCCTTAATATTCATCTTCACAATCCGCAAAAAATCCCGTAAAATTATAAGAAAAACACAACAATGATCGATCTCTCCCGAGAATCGCCGAAGACGACTGAAACGAGAGTTTGAACGACGGTTCAAACAAGTTCAAACCTGTAAACGTCAGTACAGATGCGCAAAATATTGCTGCAAGGCAACAATACCGGCAAATAGCAATAAATACTCGTGCCGGTGTAACGCGAATAACAAATATCGAAAATAATTAAATCAATTGAGTGAAAATGGCAGTGTCATGTGAATTTGTGAACATTTTCAGAAGGAACTGGAAAGACAAAAATTACGACGAGTTAGAGAGGTTATTCAAGGAGGCCCCCAGGTACCTGCAGAACCTATTGCCCTCACAAATCGGTAATAATCTGGGATTTATTATCAATTATTTTTCCAATAACTCTCTCATTAATCATCATGTCGGTTTTCTTTAAAGGTCCTCTCCTGGAAGAACTCGTGGCGGACGATGGCCTCCCGAAATTTCTCCGCGACTCGATAAATCAGGTAAGGTTTTCATCATCCTATGATTCTTCCACAAGAGAGGGTTTCTACCTTCTCAAGTACCTCTTCACGACCTTCTCCGAGAATTTTCACCCCTACCTGAGGACAACCGCCACCATCTGCGAGTTGGGGATTAAATTCAAAATATCCCATTATACGAAACGAGCTGCTTGCCACGTTTTCATTTCCCTGACGAGGACGTTCCCGGAGTTCTCTGCAGGTTTTGATGATTTCGTCAACGAGTGCATGGATAAATTGAATCGTTATGGAGACGAGAAGCTATTAATCCTCCAGGTACTCTGCACAATTTCTCGTCATCACCCTGGACTCCCAGGAATAGGGATAAACAAATACAGACTCCAGCTGAATGTCTTACAAATGCTCAAGGACGCCTGCGATACCAGGAAAACTCCTTACCGTATAGGAGTCGCCCTGGACTCACTGACAGAGCTCCTCCACAATTTCCCTCTGACAAAGGAAACTCTCGCTCAGAATTTATACACTTGTCTGCGAGTTATGTGTACGTCCTTGAATTTTATCGATCAGTACAAGGGCCTCGCCGAGTCCGTTATCACCCTCCTGGCGCAACACATGCAGCAGCTCGAAGCCTTCATCTGCGAGGATTACAATTTATGGCACGACTTCCTGAAGACGTTGACGAGGCATGACACCTTGGCTTCTCTGGCGAGAGACGCCCTCCGGATTTTCTATAAACTTCTGGTGGAGTCCCTAAAGCGAGGACAGATTCCAGAGAGTCAGGACGTCGTGGAGAGTTTCCAGAAGAATTTCGTGGAGTCATTGACTTCAAGAGACGAAAACCCCCAGGACTTGAGGACAGCTATCATGGGGTACAGTCACATGGCGGAGCTTTTGAAGGCCCAAGACGATGGAACAGCTGTGGAGAAGATGTTTTTCCTCATCTCCAGGAGGACGGTGCCTTTGTACTTCACTGAAGATGATCACATCAATTTTGGAGATATTGTCGAGTATCAGGAAACCCTGGCACGAATCCTCACGCAGTTACCAGACGTCACAGGGGATCACATGAGGATTATCAACAAGATGTGCGTCCTGACGATCAAGAAATATCCTGAGCTGAAGGCAGAGGACCAGAGCTACGCTGGACGCTCTCTGAAAATAACGATCGAACACATGAGTCACTTGAAAGTGCACTTTTTCGAGGAGTTTCTCTCGAATATCGTCTCCGAAGGCATTGCCTGGACCTGCTCACATCCTCTCCTCATCGATGCTGAACTCAGCCGAGACCAGGAAAATTCCCAGAGACGTCCCATTACTTACAAAGATTACATTCCCCTCTGGAAGTCCCTCCTGGCCTCTGAAAATTACACCCTGAACAATCAGGAGAAAGTTTCCACTGAACTCTTGACCACCTGCATCAACCTGACGTCAAAACTGGACGTCAGGATAAAAACCCGAGAGGATAATGTCTTCTCGGACATCGCACTCTCCCAAATGCCTGAAAACGAGGACGATTTCAGGATATTCGTGAACCTGGTGGACCTCTACGACGAGCTTCTCCCAGATATTATTAATGAATCCTCAGAAATCGTGAAAAAACTCCTGGAGAGTCTTATCGAAAGCTCGAACACGCACCCACTGGTCTCCGGGTTCTACAGACTCGTGAAAAGATTATTACGAGTTGTTCCATCGTTTTCAGCCTCTGAGAATGCTTTTATCGTGGAGTACCTGAGGAAAACCCTGAAATTCGTGTTCGAGTTTTCCCACGAGCTGCAGATCTCCTGTATCCATCTCCTCCTGGAGATTCCCAAAGATTTCGCAAGAGATTTTCTCCCCCACGTGGCACCAGTCTTTACGCTGGCCTTCAGAATCGGCCTCAATAATTACGAGTTAGCAGACAAGACCCTTGAGAATCTGGAGAGATTCGTCACCTGGGGAGATGAGGGGCCAGTGAGAGCTCTTCTCCTGGACGTTCTTCCTTCTCTGGAAGTCTACCTTCGCAGTAGAGAGAGCCTCGAGGTCTACGATAACGTGGAGGCTCCAGTGAAACGAATTTCAACCACAGAGAGTGCCCTGGAACTTCTCCAGAACAAGATCTTAATTTTCTTCGGTAAAGTCACCAATTCTGTGACCTTCGAATTCCTCCACAATCAGTCACAGAATACTGGAGGCACCTGGGACAGCAAGGACCTCCTGGAGTACACCATGACCTTTCCAGAGGAGAACCTCCCAGTGCACCTGGACACGATCCTTCCCAGGGTCATCGAATTGTCCTTGCGCTGCAGTGATTCGAGGACGAGAATCGCTGCTTGCGAGACCCTCCACTCCATCGTCATCATCGTCCTGGGGAAAAATGTGGAGTACATATCTAACGCGCCTGATCGTTACGTCTCCTCTTACAAGATCCTCTGCCCAGTTCTCTTAAAATTAGGCTGTGACCCAGACGAGGTAATCTGGCAGATCTTCAACCCTTTAATGCTCCAGATGACCCACTGGTTGAGCTCCAAGTTAATGCTGCACTCTCCAGCCATCGGTTACCTGATCGACAGCCTCTTCGATGGCCTCTCCGACGACTCCAATTCCTCCATCAAGGACTTTTCCGGGATCTGCCTCGCCGAGTTCTGCAAGTGGTCGATAAAACAAGACATCCAGAATCATCAGAGAAAAATACCTCTCAACATTTTGCAAGTTGTGGAGAACATCAGGAATTTTGCTCTTCACCCCTTGAAGAGTCTCAAGATCGCTAGTGCAATAGCCTTCAATCACATCTACAAGATCCTCAGGGAGGACGAGCAAATTGTTGACACTTTCTGGGTGGAGTTCCTCCACTGCTTCGTGGAGGCCATGGACAACTGCGACGATCCCAGGATCAGGGACGCCTTGAGTCACGTGGCGAGGGTTCTCCTGGAAAAATCTGGAGTGTTCCGGGCGAGCTCCAGCAGACGACGAGTTCCTATGAACTTCCCCGATGGATCCCTGAAGAGTTGTGTGGATTTCTTGCTGAATCGTTGTATTAATAACGATTCAAGTGCCAGGAAGAAATGCATGGAGTTGTACGAACGTCTCCGAGAAAAAATTGAAGGGGGAAATGAAGGGCAATACCTGGGGATACAGACCCTGATGCTGAAAAGGTTAAACGAGTCAGAGACCATTACCTCTGGAGAGGGCTTGAGGTGTTTCATTGCAGTCCTGGATGTCTACATCTGGTTCCTCCAACGAAAATTTATCGAGCCAAAAGTTCTATTTCATTCCAATTGCCAGGGCACGTCCTCAATTTTCTCCTTCCTCCAGAAATTTATCAGGGAGATCGACGAAAGCCCTGAAGATGCTAATATCCCAGTAGCTGTGATTAAGCTCTTGGATCTCCTGGTGGAAATCCTTCCAATTGAATTATCGAATAGAGAAGATATTCACAACGTCCTCTTCGGGAATAAATTCTGCAGGCTCATTCACAAATGCATCAGGGACCCTGAGACCCTGGGATTCGATGTAAAATCCTTGGAAATGAAGAGAATACTCCCGGAGAAGATGGAGAGGCTTGTGAAGTCTTTAATTAAGGATTTGTCAGCGACGAAGATGCAGATGCTCTTCATTACCCTGAAATCCTATTTCGACGATCTGTTACTGGCTACCGACGTCCAGGATCTCTCCCCTGCTCGAATAAATCAGGTCAAGGATAAACTAGAAAGCCTGATAACCATGAAACGCTGTGGGCTTTTGGAGGCGCTGTCTATGGACCAGATAATTATGGAGAAGAAATTGGTAGTGTTAAAACTGATCTTCAGGGAGATGAAGAGGCAGGAAGGAACGAGGGACTGGTGCAGAGAGCTAACACCAGAGATGAAATTTCACTTCACACATTTGCTGGAACTCTGCCTGGACGACGAGGGATTTTCCTGGCTGGTGAAGTCCAAGGCCCAGCAGATTGAGAAACTCCTGGAGTCTGAGGAAAGATCTCAGATGACGCATGGGGAGTATTTCTTCATAACCTTCAGGGAAACTTTTATTCGCTTTTTATTGAGAAATATCGAGATCTCTCTGAGAGTTATCGTCGAATTCGCCAGGGAGAGTCCTGATTTCATTCTATTTATTATCAACGAGACTGCCCTGTGGCTCCAGAGAAATAAACGACAGCATAAAAAATCTGCTGAGGATTTCGCCGATGCGGCGATTTCCTACTTCGACCATCTCCACAGGATCTTGAAAAATGTGGGGAGACGGAAGAATATTCTGAAGAACATCTACAGGACGGTCGTCCGCCTGAAACAAAATCCCGTCGACATTAAAGTGGAGAACAAGAAGATGCACTACTGGATTCTTCAGGAGTTCTCCCGCAGTCACACAATCCCAGAGAAAACTCAACTGCTGGAGGACTTTTTGATCTACCTGGTGAACGATTCCGGGGATGACACAGAGTTGAGAGTGCTATTCAGGACGTTCGATCATCTCCAGGTGTCCAGGGACTCCAAGGGCGTCCCAACGTCGAGCCTGGAGACGACAAAATTCGTCCAGTACTTCCAAACCCTGGTGAGAGATCTCCCCATCACAAAATCTCTAGTGGTATTCGAGGCAGTAACGATTTCGGCCCTGAAACTGGGAAAATACGCCGAGAACTCATCGGCGAGTGATCACCTGGCTTCCTATTTCACCTCGATACCCCACGAAAAAGCTCTCAATTCCCTGCAGATGGCCCACGAGATATTCCTAGACGCTTCGTGGCCAGGGGACAGGCTGGAAGCCCTGAGATATTTTCTCCTTCCAATATTCAAGCGCTGTCCAGAATCAGTTCTAAACGACTTCTTCGAGAATAAAATTGAGTCCTTGATTTGGAGCGTCTTTACAGAACTACCGAAAAATCCCCAGGATCGTAGGCTCGCCCTTATTTCGAAATTCGAAGCCTTCAGTCTTCTGGAGGTGATGTTCTCCTCTCTGGATATCGCCACGATAAACCATTCGTCTGGTCCAATAGCAACCAAAGTTTCTGAGGTGACGGGCCAGACGTCGGAGGTGCTCATCCAGGTCTTCAGGAAGGTCCTCGACATCAGAAAAATGCCAATCGATCCCAATGATAGCGATCTCTCGAGATCGCTGCACTGTGCTGCCTTCAATTGCGCTGTGACGATGGTGACTGTCTCCAAAGAGACGAGATACTTCCAAGCGCTCTTCGGTGAGAATCCGAGGAAGGATCAGCTCCTCTGGGAAAGGATAATTGACTGCTCGAAGAGTTACTCCTTGACCCAGACATTCAAAAATCTTCCAAAGCAGCGTAAATTCCTCGTGAGCATCAGAGAAACTCTGGGGATGGAGGAATCGTCCTCCAGTCCCTCATTCCTGAGGAGCTACAACCTGGCGTCCTCCACGTTGACTGAGGACCTCGCAGGTTACGATATGCACGGGGTAATCCCCTTGGCCGAACCCTCGACCCCGAAGTTATCAGTGACTCTGGAGGACGACGAGCTAAACGATCACGAGTGCATGGCACCCATCGTCGGTTTCCTCAAGTTCGCTTTTGCTAGTCATCAGGGTGAGGAACCTCCACCCTGGTTCCAGTCATTCACTGGAGCAATGGCCGTGAGCGAGATAAATGTCAAGTTATTCCTGCTGAAGGTCATTTTAAATACTCAGGAGGAGTTTAAACGATTCAGGAAATTGATGGTTAATAAAATCGTCATGATGATCTATTACATAATCAAAAGATCCACATTCAGTTACATAATCGCTGACGCTCTCCTCATGCTCGTCAAGTGGGCTGAGGTTTCTGTGCCCGGAGACGACGTGAAAGGCGAAGTGAACAAGATGTTCGATCTTCTTGTGTCAAAAGTGGAAGACAAGGTATCATTTGAGACAATTCTCAAGTACAATTATAGTATTCTCCAGCTGCTGGTGAAGGCGTGGCACGAGGTGCTGGAGCCACCGTCGTGTCTCCCTGAGATGATGAAGGTGGTGCCGAAGGGTGTCAGGATCCTCTTCCTACTGCTGCAGAATGGTCTCGGTCCCAAGCTCGTGCGTGATGAGGCAGTCCTTGAGTTTTTATTGAAAGCCCTGGAGACGTGGCAGAAGCAGGAGGAGCCCCTCCTCCAGACATCGGCAGCGATCGGTCTCTTCCTGAAGTTCGCAGCTCCTCAGGATCCCGAGTGTCAGCAACGAGACACTGCAATCGAGAGGATAAAAGAGGGATTGAGAAAGACAGCAGAGCCCAATCGTAAGATCAAATGCGTCCACGCGATGTGCACATCGTTTCCTGGGCTCTTGTATGAATTATATCAGTTTGTGAGTCACAATCATCTGAAGATATCAGCCCCCACGAAGAAAAAGAGCATGGAGTTATTCTTGCTGAGGATTCCTCGGATGAGTGACGTTCAGCTGACAGAAGAGTTGACCCACATTAAATTCCAGGACCTGCTGGAGAACAAAGTGCTCTCCTGCGAGAAAATTTGTCTGGAGATCATTCTCACACTCGTTACGAGACTGAGTGGCAGTGCTCTTCTCCCCCTGGCCCATCTTGCCTCTAATTATTCTCGTCATAACGATCTGGACTACAGGACCCTAGTCTACGATATTTTCATGAGTATCTTCAAAAAGTACATCAACGTCGTGACATCCCAGGACAATTCTGCAGAGACCTTGATCGATCTCAGCCAGAAGATTCTTCTGACTGGAATCCTGGATCCCTCTGAGTCCCTCCAGAACAAGTGCATCACCTTCTGGACTGAGGAGATAAAATTCAGGGACAGCTGTCCCGGACGACTCTTGGATATTCTCGACGAGTATTCTAATCACATCGCTCACGATTGTCTCCCCATCTTCGCTCTTTTATTTCTCCAGTTGTCAAAGAAATCTCACAATTACGAGTCCCAGCTGTTTCGTCCCCTTGACAGCACCTGCAGCTACAAGACGTACAAGATTGCCACATCCTGGAGGATGAAAAATTTGAGCTACAGAATACCCCTCTTCGTGTCCTCGTACGCGAGTCAGTACAGCCAGAGGTTCACCCTAGCGTCCCTATCATCCGGTGACACTGACTCCAGTGATGACCTGATGATCAGGGCGACAAATCCCTTGGAGTTCGAGCCGACTCTACCGGTGGCATTCCTGACTGAGAGCAACCCTGAGGCTTCCACTTCTGATAACATTTTTGCTGTGCCAGCAATCCCCACGAATTTCTCCCGACGATTCGTGGCGAGTAAATCATCCACGAGACACTCGTACCTCCAAAATCGACAGGAATTCTTGAGGCAACAAACGATGAAACAGAGAGATTCGATAAAACTCAGTAGGGGCTACAGGAATGGTGACCTCCCAGACATCGCAATAACCCACGCAGCAATCCTGAATCCTCTCCAGGAACTCATGAAGAAGGATCCCCTCACCTGCAAGAATTTTATGATCTCAATGATCTCCGCCGTGATCCAGGGTCTCCAGAACCACCGAAATCCCGAGAAAAAAAAATCCTACTCAGAATTCATTCATAAAGTCTCTGAAAAATTTGAACACGTCTTCATGAATTATCATGGCGGTGATCTAATCGTCTCTGCAGCGTTAGAGATAATCCTGAAGAATCCAGGGTTGAGTTTCGATTCAAAAATAGTCGCTGGTGTGGCGAAATTGGTTGGTGAGGAGGAGCTGGGGGCCCTCCTGGTGGAGAGGAAGTTGATGAATGAAATAAAGGAGGAGAGCCTCCTCGAGGAGCCCTCCTCCAAGAGACCTAGGCTCGAGAACGATGAAAATCCCCGGACAGAGAACTGGGTGCACCTGGGGGAGCTATATGAGTCCATAAACGACCTCGACGTCTTGTTATCCGTCTTCAGGAACCACGTCCCAGGGGAAGACCTCAATTTGGCATCGGAGGCTCGAGGGAGAGACTCCTGGGAAGAGGCTGCATCGCATTACGAGAGAGGTATTATCAGCGAACGGGGAGGGACTCGTCGACATTGCAGACGCGGTCTCGTCGAGTGTCTGGCACGTCTCTCCGATTGGGAGAAGCTCTCCGAAGTCGTCCACAGGGAAAACACAAGCCTGCTCCAGGTGTTGGAGGATCCAGTGATCTCCAGGACTGGGTGGATGAGTGACTGGTACTTCAGGGCGCAGATCTATCAGAGCGCGATGGATTCGGAGTCGTCTAAAGAATTCTTGGAGCAACTGAAGGTCACCGTGAATACCGAGAAAGGTAGACGACTCGTTGAGGATCGTTTCCCTGAAGAGTTGGCTTTGATTCACCACACGAATATGAGTGAGCACGCGAAGAGCTTGATCCAGGTGGCCCTGAGGAAGAGTAGAGATCGATGGACTCAGCTGAGTCCTCTATCAGTCCAGCTGAGACTCCAGGTGATGACTAAACTACGAACTCTCTGCGACACAAAGCTCTACAGGGATTGTCTGGTCGATCTCACTAGAGGCTCATCAGATACTCTTCAGGCACTGATCGACTACTGGGAGAGAAGTCTCCCCAGCCCCGAGGATGACTCCCTATCCTGGGATATCCATCTCGCTCGAAGAACTCATGTGACTGAAGTGTTAAGACGTAAATTGACAGGAAATTGCGATAACACCGGTCACAGCGACAAGTTGTTGGAGCTGGAGATCCTCCAGAAGATGGCCTTCATAAAATTGGCGTATTGCCAGAAGAATCCCGCTCTGATGACGAAATATATGATGGACGTGAAGGATTTCATCCTGGAGACATCGAATCAATTGCAGATTGACTTCCAGTTCAATCGGGCACAGATATGTTTTCTCAGGGGACAGCTGGGGAACGCAGAGTCAAAGGTGAAAAATTTCAACTTGTGCAAGAAGAAGTCGGAGTCTCTTGTGAGGGAGGGGGTCGAGAGGATCAGCGTTGACACTGCCATTGAGAATCTCCAGTTAATGGTCGACTGGTGCTCAGAGATGAAAAATTTGAAGAATGAGAACGAGAGCAGTTTCAACCGGATCATCTCCAAACTTATTGAGTCCTCCTCGTATCTCCCCTCCGAAATCGACCTGGAGGAATATCCCCTGGAGTTGCTGAGGAGGAGTATATCACTGGCAGTAGCAGAACCCACCCCAAAACGCCTGCAGAAGTGTCATTTGAATTTGTTAAAGTACTGCCACAGGGTAATTCTCGATCAGCCTGGGAACCAGGAAGCCATCAAGATCTTCGTCGAGTCCACACTGAGAGCCATCGGTTACGGGAGCAACGAAGCAACCAGTTACTTCCCCTGTATTCTCACGGAGGACTATTTGGGGAACGACGAGATTAAACGCGTCTTCAAGGAGGCGACGGAAGGAATACCAACCTGGAAGTTTCTCAGATGGCAGCCACAGCTGTTTATCCACCTGAAGACGTCCCTTCGTCCTTCAGTCGTGCCCATCATCGAGAGACTCGCGAGGGACTACCCCAACGCCCTATTTTCCAGCCTCCAGTCCACAAAGGACGTCAGGTCAGACCTGAAAAACGATCCACTGGTGCAGGAGCTGTCCTTGAAATTCAGTCAAGATCTCAAGGACTTTGCTGAGGCCCTGGAGTACCTGGTGAGACCGGAGTTGTACTTGATGCATCATCTCGATGAATTAGCCCAGGATTTGCACCTGGGGACGGACTTTGTCGTCGACAGACTCCTGGCGAAGGTGTATCATCCCAGAGACCCCTCCATGCGAGGTAACATTTACAAGTACATTTCCACCTTCGAGGAGGAAGTGTTGAGAATCAAGGACATGTCTCCGGAGACGATTGAAGAGTTCGTGAAGTCCTTGAAAAGGCGTCTGAACTCATCTCTGACGAGGAATAAAGACAGTGATATGTTGAGGGACTATAGCCCCTACTTGAGTCGGATCAACGGCTCCTCCCTGGAAATACCTGGAGCCTGCTCTGGAGAAAGCGACCCGGACTCCAGGTATCGTCCGAAAATCGTCAAGATTGAGGAGAAGATACAAGTGATGAAATCCCTGAGGAAGCCTATACGTATGAGAATCATCGGGGACGATACCAAGTCGTACAACTTCTTACTGAAATTCGGTGAAGATTTGAGAGGAGAGCAGAGACTCCAGCAGACATTCAACGTCATCAATGAGGTCCTCAGAAGGGACCTGTCTTGCTCTCATAGAAATCTGTTCCTCAAAACCCTCAAGGTTATTCCCTTGTCAAGAAGACTTGGATTAATCGAGTGGATAGGGAATGCCCGGACTCTTCAGGAGTTCGTTGAGTTCACGTGGAGCGAAAGTCAGAGGGGCAATGTGAAGCTGGTGGATAAAAATTACGAGCAGTGGATCAATGAATCCAGTGATGGGGAAGAGAGGAGAGAGGTGAGGTACAGGGAAGCTGTACTCAGGCGATCGAGTGATGAGACCATCAGGAAGATGAAGTCTCTGATGAGTATGATCGATGGTGATGCTCTCAGAAGGACTTTTCTCACCATCAACCCCTCCGCTCAGGGTTTCGTCACTGCTAGGAGAAATTTCATCGTTACCTACGCTGTCATGAGTCTCGTTCAATGGGTTCTAGGAATCGGGGATAGACACCTGGGGAATACAATGGTGCAGGTGGAGTCAGGGAAGTGTACAGGTATCGATTTTGCCTCCGTCTTTGGAGGGGGTGTCCAGCAGGCCATACCAGAGCTGATGCCTTTGAGGCTAACCAATCAAATCCTCAGGCTGATGGAGCCCTTCGATCAGGGGGATCTCGTCGCTGCCACCATGGGCCACGTTTTGGAAGCCTTGAGGCACCACAGCGATCTGATTTCGGGAGTTTTGGGGCCCATCGTCCGGGACAGAGTCAACCAGACTCCTCAGGGGCGGCGAGACCAGTGGGTATCCACGGAGAAGCTCAGGGTAGTCCTCAGAAAGCTGGGGGGAGACCATCCGGCTGCTGTCATGCTTGACGAGCTCAGGGCGCATCACTTCGAGGAAGAGACACTCGTCAAGTACGAAGCCGTCGTCAGAGGGGAATCTGGTCGGGCCTTCAGGTCTACGGTCGCTGATACTTGCCTGACCACCGAAGTACAGATCAAGTGCCTCCTGGAGCAGGCAACTGACCTCAATGTCCTGGGTAGGACTTACGTAGGGTGGAGACCATATGTGTGAATCGTTAATGTACCGATAGCTTTTTATAATACATTAATTTTTGGAGTAATGTTTATTCTTATTAAATTTATTCATTTATTCCTATGAATTTCCTACTCCCATGAAGGCACGAGAAAAATATGACAAAATAGTCAGAGGCGGGAAAAAAAAACATCGGTTCCTGCACGCATATATGTCGGTCAAGGTCGCTCTGAAGGTAGATATGTGCATTTTTATTTTCATTGTGGAATTTTAAATGGAAAAAAAATT